TACCTATGATGAAAATTACAGGCCTCTCTCATCTTTTTAAGTGGGAGAACTTGCACAATTGGTGGCTGACTAAATACTTTTTTCCCCCACTGTGTGTATATATATATATATATATATATATATATATATATATATATATATATATATATATATATATATATACATACATACATATACATATATATACATATATATATATACACATACATATATACTGATCTCACAAAATGTCTTATCCAAAATGTAAAGCAAAAATGTGCTTGCTAAAATAGAATATGCAGAAGGCTGCAGACAGAAGGCCATCCACAGTGTTCAGGAGGATCTGGAGACGAGGCAAACATCCTTCTGATCATAATGGGTAAGTAACACGTTAGGAATGATCAAATTGCTGCATAAACTAGATACAACCTCCAACAGATGCTTTTTATCAAAGGCCATTTCTTTCATGATTTGTCTGAGCAGTACACATCGAATGCATACCATCAAAAACACCTTGTCCTTCCTTGAGTTCACCCTGCCCACGCTAATGTGTTGGCCATCTTTACGGTTTCCAACTCAAGCTCTAACAGGGTCTCGGAGTCCTCCAATACCTTTCAACAGACAGTCACAACAGACGTTTCAATGACAAACGTGGTGTTGGCGGTGCATAGGTACAGTGCAGAGCTTAACCCTTCTGTATCAAGTAGATCTCTTCCCTAATGCCTTTCCATTTAGCCTCTCACTTCCAGTACTGAAAAACGGCAGAGATACTGTGTACTGGGATATATGTCCAGTTAGCCTCCATGCTCCATGTTTGTACTTGGTCCAAGCATAAAGGCGTGACACAGACAACCAGACACATTCAGGACAACATGGAAACAGACACCCAAAAGGTCACTGCTATACAGGACTTCAGGTCTCATCTGGGAGGATGTTAAGAGATTGCTCACTCTTTAAAGCACACATTTTCCTTTACAGAGAAAGAGTTGGAGAGAGCTGCATATGGTTCATAAAAGAGGGGTCAGAGCATTTGGCGTACAGGAGAACAACAATCGATGAGTAAGCCAATTTATACTGTGGCGTGAAACAAAATTGAGTTTTAGAACATAAACCACTGGTGCTCTTTTCAAGTACGGCTATTATTGGCTGTATTTGATGGTACTAAATATAGGATCTATATCATACACCTGTACAATGACTCTAATTGCTCTTGCTGAGAGAACCTTTTCATATGAATTGTCCTTTATAAGAAAAGAAAAAGGGCCCTCTATAATATGTGTAAGCACATCGTCAGTAGACTTAAAAATATATATCATGCAGCAAGTCTAAGCCGTTTGATAAATGTAAGCTCCCAATATTAACACTTTAAGATTTTTTTAACAGGCACAATAGTGTTACCCTGGATAGGAATGTAAAAAATAAAAAAATCTCCCTAATGCCATAGCAATGGAGTACAACACTGCCATAGCAACAGAAAAATCACAATATCATTCATTATGATCTAAAGACGCTAACATGGATACTTAAAATCAACTACTTGGAAGTCGTAAAAAATAAGATAACAATCGCAAAAAAAAAAACTATTGCTTCATACAGAATCAGTAGTAGTATTGAGAACAATCCTCACACATTCCCATAGAGAATGCAGGGACTGCCAGTCCAGCACAGTAGTAAGGCATCGATCATTTGTGTTGGCAAAACAAAACAGAAACTAAAACGGAACAAAAAAACATATACATCTGTATTTAATTACACCTTTCTATAACTAGAAAACCTTAATATGTGCAAAAATGTAAATCTTACAAATGTGGAATAGGTTGATAGCTAAAAGGAATATAGGAATGCCATCGTCCCCCTCCTGTGTGTCTGCCCAGCGGGGTCAGCAACAGACAGATAGGTGACTGATGTTCCAGGCTGATTGGGTCAGACTTCACGTCGACTGAACAGTCTTCTTTAATTTCTCTATCTCCATCTGAAAGGCAGGCAGGAACACACACAGCATGCGTTTTAACACATTTTCTCATGAGGAGCCAGCATCAGATGTAATTCTGATAACATCGTAGCTAACAGCCTCACAGAGAAATACATATGGGTATCAGCTCTTGAATGAAATAATGTATTATTTCCACTTGCGGTGCAACTTAACCCATCCATACCAAAGCAGGGATTTTTCTGTCATTGTAATCATTGGGTGGGCTGCCTAAGTGTTTTTTTGGGTCGCCTAAGTCCAAACAGCATAATTATTATATATATATATATATATATATATATATATATATTTGTTTTTTTTAATGCAATTTTCGGGATGGAAAAAACACTTTCAGTGTAGAAATGATAATGGACCTATATATATTTTTTATAATCTTTGAGAACTAACAATCACCAAAATAAAAGCTAGACAGTCGGGAAGAATTTAAAATTCTAAAAATAAATTTAGCAGTACTGATTTAGTTATTATGTTTGAGCAGAAAAACACACCATTAGCCATGGCAAAATGCATAGAATTGCAGGAAACTAGTTTTAAAACTGCAACATTTTCTCTTAGCTCCATGGCAGAATATGTATAATCGTAGGAAATTAGCTTTAAAACTGTAACATTTTCTCTCAGCTGCATGGCAAAATTTGTAGAATTGCAGGAAATCCGCTTTAAAACGGCAAACACTTCTCTCGGCTCCATGGAGAAATTTGAATAATTGCAGGAAATTGGCTTAAAAATGCTAAAATGTCTCCACACCACCAAGTGTTGTGCGCCGACGAGCCAATCAGGCTCATTGCCACAAACCTCTACCACGCCCACCACCTAAGCCCCTTTTTGATTCAGAAAAGACCCTGCCATAGAATTGACAATATTAGTGGAAACGGCTGCACAGCTAGAGCTATGAGCAATGACAGGAACAATAGAGTTCAATCATGAGTCACCACTAGGGTTGCAAAGCGAGGGTATATTACTGAAACTTTCGAATTTTACCAGTAAACTACCAGAATTTTGGTAACTTAAGGAATATATGGAATTTGATCACATGACATCTAGAGGCCTTTTGGGGTACTTCAGATTATCACAGGTGTCTTTAATCATCTCTGCCCCTCTGTGTGGCCTTATCACATGTAAAATATATAAACAAATCAAATAAGATGATTAAAAAAAAATTTGAATGACAAAGCCGTAAAACATTATCCTAAACATAAACTATAAACTTAATGAATACCTTTGGTCTTTATTTTTATTCTTTAAATCACACGTATTTGTTTTACTATGTCAATATGTTTTTGTTGTAAATGTTTTGGGGACAAACTGGTGGCAGTTGTGAAAAAAAACAATAGTTGGAAGAGTTGCAGAGTTAATTGAAAATAATGCCATTGTTTTCTCTTGAAAATGGTCTATCCACTAGAAACTCATGGACAATTTGGACACAGATATTTAAAAAATGTAATACTATATGAATACATTTAAAAGTTATTCAAGTATAAATTACCAAAGTTACCATAGACTACACAATAATTACCAAAATGACAGGAGATTCCGGTAACTTTGGTAAATTACCAGTAGCTTTGTAACCCTAGTCACCACAATCAGTGTAAATCATTACTGTGAGACTGTGGCACATTGTATACACTTAGATCCACAGCATGCCTTCTCCTAAAACACACTGTCATTTCATGCTCACCCTCATTTGAATACTAATAGGCAGGTTGACTGAAGACGACAGAAATTTGCCACAATATGAAAAGCTCTTACTCAGACTCAGTAAATGGAATACAAAGATATGAGAGAGAGAGCGAAAGAGCGAAAAATACAGAAAAAGGGAAAGAGGGAGAACAGGAAAGAGATTGAACAAAATCGATAAGACAAATATTAAGGAAGAAAGCTATAAAAAAGTGTGTCTTGTATTATGGATTATTTCTGAATGAATGCAGACAGATGCTACAGTTCCCAGTCTTAAATAAGACCTCTGCAGTGCTTCTGTAAATCGACACGTGGATGCAGCAAAAGGGGGTTGAGGTGGGGAGGGCAGAGATAATCTTTAGCGGGGTGGATGTGTGTATGCTTGGGGCCCAGAAGGGGGTCTAGAAAAGCCTGCCTCTCCTCACTGCTCCTGGGGAGAAGGATGGACAAGGTTGGGGTAGGCTGGGTCCGACTCCCTGGGTAGTGCTGAGTAGGGCCATAAAGGATCCCGCAGCGTGTGCTCGGCGTGGGTGTGTCCAATACTAATGTGTGTTCGTATCTCTCACCCTCTGACTGGACCCATCAGGCTTACACACTCTGACAAGCTCTGATGTAAAGATGGACATGGTGATGAATTTACCTGCAGGGCCACTCGTTTCAACCTCTCCTCGTCCAGCTCGCTTCTCAGCTCTGCCATCTCTCTCCTGCAAAGCAAAGCCAAGACGTTCACAAGGCTCCTCAGTGCTCGACTGGCTAGCCTCTGATCAACAATAAGATCACATCACCATTGCTCTGTCTGAACAGGCTTCACTCACAAGTTCTAACAGTGAATCGTCTATTTACCTACCCAAAAACAAGCCATAGGGCACTATATAAAGTCTGAAAAAGGTCCACAAAGAAAAATTGTTGACTGATATTTCTAGCTAGCTTTGATAATGATGAAGCTAAAGGATCTTAACAAGGCAACATTTGTTTGGACAACTAAACAGAGAGAACATTACATTTAAAGGGATAGTCCGACATTCTTTTTTCTACTTACCCTGAGTCAGATGAACTCATGGATACCATTTTTATGTCTCTGTGTGCAGTTTGAAGGAAGTTAAGGTAGTTTCTAGAGTCATTGCTAACTACCATGCTGGTCGTTCCTGTAGACTTCCAGTCACTGTGCTAACGCTATGCTCCAGAAGCTACCTTCAAACTATATGCAGAGACATAAAAATTGAATTCATGAGTACTGACTCTGGGTAAGTAGAAAAAAGGGCTTGATTGAAAAAATGACGCACTTGCCCTTTAAAGTAAGAGTTTGAGAGTAGCACATGGAAACTGAACTACAACATCTAAGGAAAGTGGTAGTTAGTTACATTTGCTGGGTCTTGAGGAGCTCCACAGACAGCAGCAGTTCTTTCATCTGGGATTGGAGGTCTTCCAGCTCAGACCTCCGCTCCTCTGGCTCTGCCATGGGCTTGGGCTCTGTGCTGGGGCCTGGGCTGCGGCTTCGGCTGGGGACTGGGCTGGAGCTAGGGCTGGGGCTTCTGTGGCCAGGTGCAGATGCCAGGTAGGCTTTGGGCCCATCCGACAGGGATAGGCTGGGCTTGAGGACAGGAGACTGGGAGTGTGAGTTGTACATGGAAGGCTGTGGACACGAGACACATACTGTTAGCTGGACAGGGGAATCCTAAATATTCTTAGACAATTATGTGCTTCCAACTTTGTGGCAACAGTTTGGGGAAGGCCCTTTCCTGTTTCAGCATGACAATGCCCCCGTGCACAAAGTGAGGTCCATACAGAAATGGTTTGTTGAGATCGGTGTGGAAGAACTTGACTGGCCTGCACAGAGCCCTGACCTCAACTCCATCAAACACCATTGGGATGAATTGGAACACCGACTGCGAGCCAGGCCTAATCAACCAACATCAGTGCCCGACCTCACTAATGTTCTTGTGGCTAAATGGAAGCAAGTCCCCGCAGCAATGTTCCAATATCTAGTGGAAAGCCTTCCCAGAAGAGTGGAGGCTGTTATAGCAGCAAAGGGTGGCCCAACTCCTTATTAATGCCCATGATTTTGGAACGAGATGTTACTTTTGGTCATATAGTGTAGATATGTACATGAAGGCAGGGTAATGTGACTAGGCATCAGGATAGAAAATAATGTGAGTAAAATAAAGAACAGAGCAGCAGCAGCAAATGATGAGAGTAAAAGTGTGTGAGTGTTGTGTTGCGTCAGTATGCGTAGTGTATGTGAATGTATGTGGGTTTTGTGTGGGAGTGTCAATGTAGTGTGTGAGTGAGTATATGGTGTGTATATAGCCTAGTGCAGTGGTCACCAAGGCATTCCACCAAGGCATTCCTAGTCGATCACAAAACATTTCAGTAAAAAAACGATAAAGCATTGCGTTCCTGTTTAAAAATAAATAATTTAGTGCTGTTGACGGTAGCTGCACTTGATTCAGCAGCCCTTGCCCCGGGAAGGCAAAGTGTTCCCATTTTGAACCATTTCATGTGTCTGAAAGTAGAACTCTGCCTACCCGGCAGGCCTAGAGAGCAAATCAAGTGCACCTACCGGCCAACCGCTGGCCAATCAGATAGCTCAGATCACCGTGTCTGCAGTTTCCTTGAACCATAGATGTAAAAAGAAGCCTCTTGCGCACAGCAAAGTTAATACTGTGAGATTAAAACGTTTAAAACCATGACTAGAGACTCAACGAATACAACAAAGCGCTGCAGTTTTTATGAGTAAGTTAATGTTGAAGTTGTTATTCAGCACTGTCAACACTTTGTTCAACACGTTTATATTTTATAAGCCTTAAAATGTGTGTTCTCCCTACTTCCACTCACGCTACACCCAGCACTGCAGCTGCAATGAATGAGTATAGCAGTGTTTCGATAAGCTTGCATTGTTATTATTAGCGGCTTGTCTCTTTTTTTATATACAGTAATATTAAAAACATTATCTGGACATCGGATTAACAACATGAATTGGTGCATGAGGCAGAAAAAATGGTCTGTGACTTGAGTTTCGCCATCAGCTGGAAGACTGTGTCCCCTTTCCTCACCGCTGCCCTCTCCCTCCCCTCAGACTGACCATCAGATGCAGGCCAATACAAGTAACACAACAAATTATCTATTACCAGTATGACCATATACCAATTTAAAAAAAATGTTTTATTTCTAAATGGTCTGAGATGAACAACATTGGCAGGGCAATTCAAGTATAGCCAATATGCAGTGATAATGTATTGGGCATATTGCCTACTACAACATAACATTGCTACATAACTGTTTTTAATAGGTCCAGGATGAACAGGCTTTGGTTTTTTAAGTCATGTTAAAAAAAAAATCTGAGTGGTAGATCTCGGCATGCATTTTGACTCAAAGTGATCTTGATTTAGAAAAGGTTAGTGACCACTGGTCTAGTGAGTGTGTGTAGGGTCAGTGCAAGATAGAGACAGTGCAGATAGTTTGGGTACCATTAATTGACTATTTAGCAGTCTGGCCATTTAGCAGTCTTATGGCTTGGGGGTAGAAAGCTGTCTCGGAGCTTGTTGGTCCGAGAGCCGATGCTCAGGTACCGTTTGCCGGATGGTAGCAGAATGAACAATCTATGGCTTGGATGGCTGGTGTCTTTGGCAACTTTTCAGGCCTTCCTCTGACACCGCCTTATAGAGAGGTCATGGATGGCAGGGAGCTCGGCCCCAGTGATGTACTGAGCTGTCTGCACCACCCTCTGTAGCGCTTTGCGGTCAAGATCGGTGCATTTGGCATACCAAGCGGTGATGCAGCCAGTCAAGATGCTGTCGATGGTGCAGTTGTAGAACATTTTGAGGATCTGAGGGCCTACGCCAAATCTTTTCAGCATCCTGAGGGGGAAGAGGCGATGCCATGCCCTCGTCACGACTATACGGGTGTGTGTGGACCATGTTAAGTCCTTAGTGATGTGGACGCCACAACACATGTTTGTGTGAACGCCAGAGGCTTGCGACTGTGCTGTACTGGAGGGATCACGGTTCATCAAGATAAGAGGGCTTTCATACAGCGAAGGGAGGGATGACAGGAGGAAAACATTAACGACAGACGTATTAGTGAGGGATTACTCAGAGGCACTGAGAGAGGTCTCCAAGAGGTCTCTATGACTTAACTGAAGAACACAATATAGTTGCAGGCCTTTTTTCATGGGATATATTAGTTCATTTCTATAGTCCATTTCTGAGCTGAGACATGTTTTGTTGTTCTTTTTTTGGGGTGTTGAATTCCCTGCTGAGGGAAAATATTGGCTGAGGTGACTAACTTGCAGCAATAGGATCCATTTTGGATGAATCACAAGTGTCTGAACAGAGATCGATCTAATGTACATTTGGGACATTGATCCATACATACAAAATAGTTGTTCTGGAATGTTTCTTGGTATACCAAACATACAAGTTCAATACAGGTCGGACACTGACCAATACAATCAGACACATTAATGTCATCGTTACCTTTCTTGTGTCTATCAACTTTGGTTTGGGGGCTTCCTCCTCATCCAACTTTAAGGTTTTCTCCACGCTGATGTCCTTGTTTGGCTGTGAAGACATAAAAAAAAAATCACAACAGGTCTGCTCAGTTTCTGACACACCTTGGCAGACACTGAGACACTCTGGGTTGTCATGTCCATCTGTTTCTAATGGAAGGCTTTCACATTACTCTTCAGGGAACTCAGTCAATCAAAGACAATCGGAACGACCAGACAGCTCTCCTCTCAGCCCTTCATGTAACTCAAATGTCTTTTCAATTGGACCTGTAGTACCCTGTTCCCATCTCACCCCAACTCCCCCGACCCATCATGAGGTGCAGATAAGGTGAGGTCTCTGTATATGGAATGTGGTGATATACATTTACTGTACAGAGGGGGCCTGCATGTGGAAATTCTGAGAGGAATTTGATGTATCAATGTAATGTATGGAGCAAGATGAACACGTGTGGTGTGTAAGTGTGGGTGTGCTGAGTTGTGTGTCCTCAGTAGCGTGTTGGTATTTCACGGTGTGTGTGTACTCACCGAGTGGCCTCCTCCAAACTGAGCGGGCAGCCTCCTGCCAGGCATCTTTGGCCTGTTAGCGGTGGGGTGAGACAGCTTCTCAGAGGTAGACGACAGATCAAAGCTCATCAGTTCTTCACAGAGAAAGAGAAGAGAACAAAGAGAGAGAAAATAATTTTGGGATAAACCATTTTTGAAAGGAAAACGATTTTACGCATATTGTAATTAATTATATAGGTAATATTTCATAGAAATATGGAAACACTGGACAGTTACTTTAAGACGGCCTTGAGAATTGTATACATTGAAACATTGCCACACAGTATGACACCCTCTTCAATCACTATAACACAAAGAAAAACAAAGCCATCACTACAATCTAAGTAAGTACTATATAGCCCTATTTAAAGACTATAGACAGGATCTTAATTAAGTAACGTTGCAGAACTCCCAGAGGAGTGAAGATGGAGGTAAAGGAGAATGAGGAGTGTGTTTCCGTGTTTGTCTTCATGTCCTGAGCCCATGGGGCTGATGACCTCTGGAGGTGAGGAGCCATCATGGTTTTAGCAGCTATTTTGTCGCTTTTAGCGGTATGGCTCACAGACACGACTCCCTAGTTAACTTCTATCCTCCACACCGTCATTATTAGGCAGTGGGCCATAGCAAGCTATCTGCTTTAGTTTTCTGGATGATCGATCTCTGTCGAGGGAGGAGCTAGTTTTTACGTAGTGTATATTTACATATTCTGAAAACATTTCAGTTTGTTGGCAATGACAAGTTGAGCAATTTTCTTTAAAATACTTTTATGTTCGCTAGCTGGACAGGCAAATGCCGCTGAGTACTAAACTGTAAACCAATCAAAACTTTGTACTGCAAGGTATGCTATACACTCAGTGACCCATTTATTAGGTACACCACCCTGTTCATGAAAATGGTTAGCCCCTACAGACAATGAGTCACGTGGCCATGGCTTGCTATATGAAGCAGGCAGACAGGCATCCAGTTGCTGTTCGATTGAACATTAGAATAGGCTAAACAAGTGACCTAAGCGACGTTGAGCGTAGTATGATCCTAGATGCCAGGCGCGCCGGTTTCGAGTATCTCAGAAACGGCCAGCCTCTTGGGCTTTTCACGCACGACAGGGTCTATTGTTTACAGAGAATGGTGCGACAAACAAAAAACATCCAGTCAGCGGCAGTCCTGCAGGCGAAAACAGCTTGTTGATGAGCGGTCGAAGGAGAATGGCAAGAATCTGGCCACAAACAGGCAAATAGCGGTGTGCAGAACAGCATCTCGGAAAGCACAACTCGTCGGTCCTTGTCACTGGTGGGCTATTGCAGCAGACAACCACACCGGGTTCCACTCCTATCAGCTAAAAACAAGAAGAAGCGGCTCCACTAGGCACACAATCACCAACACTGGACAATTGAGGAGTGGAAAAACGTCGCCTGATCCAACAAATACCAGTTCCTGTTGCATCATGCTGATGACAGAGTCAGGATTTAGCGTAAGCAGCATTAGTCCATGGCCCCATCCAGACCTAACATGTGCCAGGAAAACATTCCCCACACCATTACAACACCGCCACCAGCCTGTACAGTTGAACAGCTTGTTGATGAGCGGTCGAAGGAGAATGTACAGGCTGGTGGCGGTGTTGTAATGGTGTGGGGAATGTTTTCCTGGCACATGTTAGGTCTGGATGGGGCCATGGACTAATGCTGCTTACGCTAAATCCTGACTCTGTCATCAGCATGATGCAACAGGAACTGGTATTTGTTGGATCAGGCGACGTTTTTCCACTCCTCAATTGTCCAGTGTTGGTGATCGTGTGCCTAGTGGAGCCGCTTCTTCTTGTTTTTAGCTGTACAGGCTGGTGGCGGTGTTGTAATGGTGTGGGGAATGTTTTCCTGGCACATGTTAGGTCTGTTGATACCAATTGAGCAACATTTGAAAGCCACACCTTGTAGAATCCATACCACAAAGAATTCAGGCTGTTCTGGAGGCCAACCCGGTACTAGATGGGTGTACCTAATAAACTGGCCACTGAGTATGTGTAGGCTATGCCATATGTATTGGCTAATTTGCATATGTAGCTGTTGTTTTTAAACCTTCATTCTAGCATACATGACACACACACATCTTTCTATCTACATCCATTTATTTATATATTTTTTTATGCAAATTATATAATTAAATGTTTATTTAAGCCTGCAGCTAGTTACTTGAAATGAGACAATCATGCCAAAACATGATAAAACATTTAATTAACTGACTGAGATAGCTAATGAAACACTAGTTTTCTGAGCAGGCACATTGAAGTTTACATTATTAGCTGGCTATTGGCTATGCTAGTTAACTCTAACATAGGCTAGCTTTCAATAAATTGACAAAATGGTCAATAGAGTTACCTCTTCATATGCATGCTGCATATCTGAAGTGCACTCAAAAACAGATCATCTTATTTCAGTTTTTGGGACCTAACATTAGTTCCTCTTAACACACTGACAGCAGATCACGATTTCATTGTAGGCTGTGTTTACACCTTTAGATGGAATGTTTACACCTTTAGATGGAAGCAGGCCATTGGCTGCCTTCATCACGAGGGGTATGTACGGGAGTTCTGATTGGTTCCAAGTTTAGCAGTTTGCAAATTTGCCTGAGCAGACAGTGTTGAAATATACTTTTTTTTTTGAGAAAATGAGCACGAATTGAAGGTGCCAACAAATTTGACAGTAATCATAAGAATATTTCACTGTCATATACAAAAAATAATTATCAGCTCCACCCTTGACATATATCGATCAACTTCACTGTTTTCGGCGTCGGCCCTCCACCTACATTCTGAGAACTCTCCTCACCTAAACTCCCTCGTCCTCCCTCACCTTTCTGTCTCTCTCCATCCCTTTCTCTCTTCCTAAAAGCTCTTCTCTTAATGTTTTTCCTGTTTGTGATTGTCCTTGGCATGAAACGAGAGGTGATGTAAACAGAAGCAACCTCCCTCCCTTTCCTCTTTCTCTATCCGTCTATCCTCCTTCATCCCTCAATTCTCCCCAACTCCTGGACTCAGGACACAAGCTGAAAAATGATCTTTCCATGGGTTTAGAGGATTAAATCAACACATTAGCAACAACAACTCTAAAAATATATATTTTTAGAGTAATTTGGGATTTAACGGGCAAAGCTGTCCATATACCTTAGAGCATTTGATAATGTGTCAAAGTATTTTCATCTGTGATACAGAATAATTGTCAATCTACCGGTACGCTTCAAAGGGCAAATCAATCACATACAATATGCATAATGTTAGCAAAAGCCTTGAAAAAACATGAACACAATCTCCCAACAAAAGAAAAACATCCTTTAAGAAACGGCCAAGCTCTCAGTATAGTGATGCAGGTCTTTAGATGTTGTACACATGAAATTGTGTAATTCCGAGCGTTAAAAGCAATGTTTATTCCCTTTTGGGTGACTCGAGTGGTTCCATTTTACGTGTAGCCTGCTGCTACAGGTAACTGCCAAGATAAAGGAAACACCAACATATAGTGTCTTAATAGGGCGTTGGGCCACTACGAGTCACCAGAACTGCTTCAATGCACCTTGGCATAGATTCTACAAGTGTCTGGAACTTCCTGTGTGGAAGCGCCCCATGCTTTCAATTAGGGTTGTCACGATAACAGCATTGTGATACTACAATACATGATTTTCCTTGTTAAAAAGGAAAACACAAAGCAGACTAAACTCTTTGGTCCTTTAAAAAACCTACTGTTTGTAAAATATTGTGTGCTATAGCTTGGAAAAGAAACGTGTGATTCTGGGTGACAACATAAGGCTGTTTGTTTCCAACATTAGGACTGTTTTCCTCAGGAAATTCAGTCCACTTCATGTTTTGTTTCTTTGCCACGATACCTCTGAGTATCGCGATCCCTCTGAGTATCGCGATACTGGTATCTTGACAACCCTATTTTCAATATACTTTGTATCCCCCATTTACTCACGTGTTTCCTTTATTTTGGCAGTTACCTGTAAAATGGATGGAGAGGTATCGCACGAGTCGCAACAAAATGGAATATAAGGTGGGGGATAACGTTTGGAATGACAATTTCTACAGACCTGCATCCCTATACTGAGAGCTTTGCCGTTTCTGAAAGGATGTACAGTGGGGGAAAAAAGTATTTAGTCAGCCACCAATTGTGCAAGTTCTCCCACTTAAAAAGATGAGAGAGGCCTGTAATTTTTATCATAGGTACACGTCAACTATGACAGACAAATTGAGAAAAACAAATCCAGAAAATCACATTGTAGGATTTTTAATGAATTTATTTGCAAATTATGGTGGAAAATAAGTATTTGGTCACCTACAAACAAGCAAGATTTCTGGCTCTCACAGACCTGTAACTTCTTCTTTAAGAGGCTCCTCTGTCCTCCACTCGTTACCTGTATTAATGGCACCTGTTTGAACTTGTTATCAGTATAAAAGACACCTGTCCACAACCTCAAACAGTCACACTCCAAACTCCACTATGGCCAAGACCAAAGAGCTGTCAAAGGACACCAGAAACAAAATTGTAGCCCTGCACCAGGCTGGGAAGACTGAATCTGCAATAGGTAAGCAGCTTGGTTTGAAGAAATCAACTGTGGGCGCAATTATTAGGAAATGGAAGACATACAAGACCACTGATAATCTCCCTCGATCTGGGGCTCCATGCAAGATCTCACCCCGTGGGGTCAAAATGATCACAAGAACGGTGAGCAAAAATCCCAGAACCACACGGGGGGGACCTAGTGAATGACCTGCAGAGAGCTGGAACCAAAGTAACAAAGCCTACCATCAGTAACACACTACACCGCCAGGGACTCAAATCCTGCAGTGCCAGACGTGTCCCCCTGCTTAAGCCAGTACATGTCCAGGCCCGTCTGAAGTTTGCTAGAGTGCATTTGGATGATCCAGAAGAGGATTGGGAGAATGTCATATGGTCAGATGAAACCAAAATATAACTTTTTGGCAAAAACTCAACTCGTCGTGTTTGGAGGACAAAGAATGCTGAGTTGCATCCAAAGAACACCATACCTACTGTGAAGCATGGGGGTGGAAACATCATGCTTTGGGGCTGTTTTTCTGCAAAGGGACCAGGACGACTGATCCGTGTAAAGGAAAGAATGAATGGGGCCATGTATCGTGAGATTTTGAGTGAAAACCTCCTTCCATCAGCAAGGGCATTGAAGATGAAACGTGGCTGGCTCTTTCAGCATGACAATGATCCCAAACACACCTCCCGGGCAACGAAGGAGTGGCTTTGTAAGAAGCATTTCAAGGTCCTGGAGTGGTCTAGCCAGTCTCCAGATCTCAACCCCATAGAAAACCTTTGGAGGGAGTTGAAAGTCCGTGTTGCCCAGCGACAGCCCCAAAACATCACTGCACTAGAGGAGATCTGCATGGAGGAATGGGCCGAAAATACCAGCAACAGTGTGTGAAAACCTTGTGAAGACTTACAGAAAACGTTTGACCTGTGTCATTGCCAACCAAGGGTATATAACAAAGTATTGAGAAACTTTTGTTATTGACCAAATACTTATTTTCCACCATAATTTGCAAATAAATTCATAAAAAATCCTACAATGTGATTTTCTGGATTTTCTTTTCTCATTTTGTCTGTCATAGTTGACGTGTACCTATGATGAAAATTACAGGCCTCTCTCATCTTTTTAAGTGGGAGAACTTGCACAATTGGTGGCTGACTAAATCATTTTTCCCCCACTGTATTTGGGGTAAGTTTCTTTAAAACGTGAAATCACAAAAAAGGTGTCTGGACCCTTCAATAACATGCAATTTACATTTTGTTTAAAAAAAGAAAAGGTATTCTTTAAGGATTAAAAGGACTAACTGGTTTTACACCCAAAGAAACATTCTACCTATGAAGTTTGGAGAGTGTAATGGTTTTATAGATTAAATGTGACCCTGTCTTTGGAGCAAGCTGAGCATAACTATACTGAACAAAAATATAAACGCAACATGTAAAGTGTTGGTCCCATGTTTCATGACCTGAAATAAAAGATCCCATAAATTGTCCATATGCACAAAAAGCTTATTTATTTCAAAATGTTTGCAGAAATTTGTTTACATCCCTGTTAGTGAGCATTATTGCTTTGCCAAGATAATATATCCACCTGACAGGTGTGGCTGGCATATGAAGAAGCTGATTAAACAGCATGATCAATACACAGGTGCTGGGGACAATAAAAGGCCACTAAAATGTGCAGTTCTCTCACACAAGACAATGCCACAGATGTCTCAGGTTTTGAGGTAGCGTGCAATTGGCATGCGGACTGCAGGAATGTCCACCAGAGCTGTTGCCAGAGAATTCAATGTTAATTTCTCTACCATATGTCGCCTCCAACGTCATTTTAGAGAATTTGGCAGTAGGTCCCACCGGTCTAACAACTACAGAACACATGTAACCACGCCAGCCCAAGAACTCCACATTCGGCTTCTTACATTTACATTACATTTTAGTCATTTAGCAGACGCTCTTATCCAGAGCGACTTACAGTTAGTGAGTGCATACATATATATATATATTTTTATACCCCCCGTGGGAATCGAACCCACAACCCTGGCGTTGCAAACGCCATGCTCTACCAACTGAGCTACATCCCTGCCGGCCATTCCATTCCCTCCCCTACCCTAGACGACGCTGGGCCAATTGTGCGCCGCCCCATGTGTCTCCCGGTCGCACCTGCGGGATCGTCTGAGACTAGCCACCCGGACAGCTGATGAAACTGAGGAGTATTTCTGTCTGTAATAAAGCCCTATTGTGGGGAAAAACATATTCTGATTGGCTGGGCCTGGCTCCCCAGTGGGTGAGCCTGGCTCCCAGGTGGGTGGGCCTATGCCCTCCCAGGCCCAACCATGGCAGCGCCCCTGCCCAGTCATGTCAAATCCATAGATTAGGGGCTAATGAATTTATTTAAATTGACTGATTTCCTTATATGAACTGTAACTCAGTACAATTGTTGAAATTGTTGCATGTTGCATTTATATTTTTGTTCAGTATAATGATGATGTCATGGAGCCTTATAATTGTGGAAGTTAAGTGTATACGTTCGGGACCCCAAATGAACGTTTCACTGCATGTCTTGTTCAAGGTCTTACTGCACAGAATGTCCTCAAAATAAAAAGTTCACTTCAGCGGAGCCATACATACCCATGTCAAGGGCTTTGTCCCCCCATTCACCGGACAGCGTTTTTGGTTTGCTGGGTAATGTTGGCTCAAAGTCAGACTTTGGCCGCGTGGAAGGCACCTCTCCATTGTGCCTGTAGAAGAGGGGGGAAACAACATCAGTAGTACCATTAGTAACAGTTGTAAACAGTAGTGGTAGTAATGCAATCCTGATGGCTCAGAGTTATGCAGGGCTCTACAGTGAGACCATTTTATTTGCATATTGCCTGAATATTTTGTTGTGCGACCTGGAATTTTAATTTAGGAGCATTAGTGCGCCTAGAAAAATGAAGGATTCTAGCTTTATTACCTGTAGACTTAGAAAACAGCATATTTTCAGCGTGAATACAATCATTCAGAAGGCATACAATGTCCAACGGCATGACAAACAAAGAAACTAAATACACTGGTTTGTTAGTGTTTACATTAGTGTATTAACATTATTATCCAAACATCATTATGCAACAGAGGCATGAGTCAGAACTAGGCAATGTTGTCCATCCTCAACGTGAAGTGTATGTGACCCTAGACGGCTCAGACAGTGGCCGAATGGATGTTTGAACAGAGGGAGGGATGGAAGAAAAGAAGGACGGGCAGAAGGACGGAGAGACTTACTTGGCCCCTGTGGAGGGTGTGAGAGGCTTGTCTGGTAGTTTTGGAGGGAAGCTGCCTGGTCTTCCCTTGCCTGGCGGGGGTACAGGCTTCTTGGGGGGGACCAGAGGGGCAGTAGGTTTTGACAATTTGTGATCTGTCTTGTCACCTTCAGTGAGAGCGAGAGAATCTGAGTCAGAATGATCTAGGAATGATTTAGGCACCTTCATTCTTCATTCACAGCAGCAAGGACATGTTAGCATCTGTCCCCAAGGCTATTCCACTATAACATTAAAGTAGCCAACACCTAATCTCATTATGGAAATGCTTCATTCCTCAGAGAAATAAACTATCGATCCTGTGACAAATTAGTCATATGCATTGAGGTTGATTAGATACGCCAACCAGGAATAAGTGTACTTCTTCGATTTGAAAGGGGAAAAAGCAGCAACATGTTTCTTTTAGCCCTAGAGAGACAGGAAGGGTCCCGGTGGCCCTGAGGTCATCCTTCACCACAGCGAAGGAAAGCTTTTCAGCCACTCTGAGGACCGCTAGTGACATCACTTCTGTAAAGTGACAGGACACGGCAAGTTCACACAAGGAGGATGTACCGTACGGTGAATGTATGTAAGTGCAGCACTTCACGTTGATGCCAAGGCACCTTTCGCATGATAAGGTAAAATGAGAAATGTGCAAGAAGCCCAGGGGTGTTGGCATGACAGAGAAGTGAAGCTAAAGCTAAAACACTGCTAAAAATGGCCTGTCACAATGCATTGCCAATTGGCTGGAAGAAACAACATGCAATAGCCGTCCGCTCACTGTCACATTGGTGCTACATTCCCCCTACTGCTGCCCCTCTTCATTATTCTCAGCATCCAGAAACTCCTACAACTATCAGAATAAAATGCTGGTCCTACAATATACAGTGAGGGAAAAAAGTATTTGATCCCCTGCTGATTTTGTACATTTGCCCACTGACAAAGACATGATTAGTCAATAATTTTAATGTTATAAATTGATTTGCATTTTAATGAGGGAAATAAGTATTTGACCCCTCTGCAAAACATGACTTAGTACTTGGTGGCAAAACCCTTGTTGGCAATCACAGAGGTCAGACGTTTCTTGTAGTTGGTCACCAGGTTTGCACACATCTCAGGAGGGATTTTGTCCCACTCCTCTTTGCAGATCTTCTCCAAGTCATTAAGGTTTCGAGGCTGACGTTTGGCAACTCGAACCTTCAGCTCCCTCCACAGATTTTCTATGGGATTAAGGTCTGGAGACTGGCTAGGCCACTCCAGGACCTTAATGTGCCTCTTCTTGAGCCACTCCTTTGTTGCCTTGGCCTTGTGTTTTGGGTCATTGTCATGCTGGAATACCCATCCACGACCCATTTTCAATGCCCTGTCTGAGGGAAGGAGGTTCTCACCCAAGATTTGACGGTACATGGCCCCGTCCATCGTCCCTTTGATGCAGTGATGTTGTCCTGTCCCCTTAGCAGAAAAACACCCCCCAAAGCATAATGTTTCCACCTCCATGTTTGACGGTGGGGATGGTGTTCTTGGGGTCATAGGCAGCATTCCTCCTCCTCCAAACACAGCGAGTTTAGTTGATGCCAAAGAGCTCGATTTTGGTCTCATCTGACCACAACACTTTCACCCAGTTCTCCTCTGAATCATTCAGATGTTCATTGGCAAACTTCAGACGGGCATGTATATGTGCTTTCTTGAGCAGGGGGACCTTGCGGGCGCTGCAGGATTTCAGTCCTTCACGGTGTAGTGTTACCAATTGTTTTCTTGGTGACTATGGTCCCAGCTGCCTTGAGATCATTGACAAGATCCTCCCATGTAGTTCTGGGCTGATTCCTAACCGTTCTCATGATCATTGCAACTCTTGCATGGAGCCCCAGGCTGAGGGAGATTGACAGTTATTTTGTGTTTCTTCCATTTGCGAATAATCGCACCAACTGTTGTCACCTTCTCACCAAGCTGCTTGGCGATGGTTTTGTAGCCCAATCCAGCCTTGTGTAGGTCTAAAATCTTGTCCCTGACATCCTTGGAGAGATATTTGGTCTTGGCCATGGTGGAGAGTTTGGAATCTGATTGATTGATTGCTTCTGTGGACAGGTGTCTTTTATGCAGGTAACAAACTGAGATTAGGAGCACTCCCTTTAAGAGTCTGCTCCTAATCTCAGTTTGTTATCTGTATAAAAGACACCTGGGAGCCAGAAATCTTTCTGATTGAGAGGGGATCAAATACTTATTTCCCTCATTAAAATGCTAATCAATTTATAACATTTTTTACATGCGTTTTCCTGGATTTTGTTGTTGTTATTCTGTCTCTCACTGTTCAAATAAACCTTCCATTAAAATTATAGACTGATCATTTCTTTGTCAGTGGGCAAACGTACAAAATCAGCAGGGGATCAAATACTTTTTTCCCCTCACTGTATATTAAACAAACTTATTAAAAACAAAATATTTAGGCTACATTTACATTTTAGTCAATTACCAGACACTCTTAACAGATCTAAATACAGATGCCAAAACTGAAAATTATCTATCTAAAACCTAGCCCAAAGTACAGGACATTTACATGAAGAGTTCATTGTAAATTATATATTAGGCCTATGGTCTTCTGGGCTCACAAAAGTAGTCAGAAGAGAGGCCTATGAGATGTCTTCACCAGATAGATCCACCTCCCTGGCTGTTCCCCTCCACCAGTGACTCATTAGTGTCAACTTCATCACCGCGTTAACAGCACACACACAACACACAAATGCTTTGTCCTACATTCAGTCTGACAACTGATAGTGACAACCTCCAGCTTTGTTAAGCAATTGAGTGTTCCACTCCGCATTCTCTCTCTCAATCATAGATTAGGACACATGGAGTTGACTTATTTGAATAATACCCTGGAAGAAGAATGTTAATTGTAAACATGAACATCCCAGAGAAGGTTAATTGAGGTCAGGTAACTGATTGCCTGTTCAGAGAACATAATGCTAAAAAGCAGCAACATTTTAAAAGTAAAAGAACATTGCTGTAGAGCAGAGGGGTATCCTATGAAGCAAGCTAGAGCTACTCAGTGTTTCCTAAAGTTGACCAGCTTCAGTTAGCTTCACAATCCAGCTCAGGCTTCATCCGTGCTAGGATGAAGGATATTGCTTATCCGCCTGCCGCTAACTCTAGCAGGCTTGTAACTACGTGTGCATGTTGCAAATGACTAGTTGAACACCCAACTCTTCATTGACACAATGCTGAAATGTCAATATGTGGGCAAGTCAGTGCCACATGTTCATTTGTGCCGAAATCAAAATGAAAGAAAGGTTATATCTTGCAAATTCGGCAGGCTATGGTGTGAAATAGGCTTTTAGAAGTGCCCTCTATTTTATTACTTATCGTTAATGCCAGACGGCAGCCCTAGCCGCGTCCTCAGAGCATGCGCAGACCAGCTGGTTGGTGTGTTTACGGACATATTAAATCTCTCCCTTTCCCAGTCTCCTGTTCCCACATGCTTCAAGATGGCCACCATTGTTCCTGTACCCAAGAAACAGAGGTAACTGAACTAAATGACTATCGCCTCACCTCTGTCATCATGAAGTGCTTTGAGAGACTAGTCAAGGATCATATCACCTCTACCTTACCTGTCACCCTAGACCCACTTCAATTTGCTTACCGCCCCAATAGATCCACAGACGATGCAATCGCCATCACACTGTCCTATCCCATCTGGACAAGAGGAATACCTATGTAAGAATGCTGTTCAATGACTATAGCTCAGCATTCAACACCATAGTACCCTCCAAGCTCATCATTAAGCTTGAGGCCCTGGGTCTGAACCCAGCCCTGTGCAACTGGGTCCTGGACTTCCTGACCGGCCGCCCCCAGGTGGTGAAGGTAGGAAACAACATCTCCACTTCCCTGATCCTCAACACTGGGGCCCCACAAGGGTGCGTGCTCAGCCCCCTCCTGTACTCCCTGTTCACCCATGACTGCATGGCCAAGCACGCCTCCAACTCAATCATCAAGTTTGCAGACGACACAACAGTAGTAGGCTTGATTACCAACAATGACGAGACTGCCTACAGGGAGGAGGTGAGGGCTCTTTGAGTGTGGTGCCAGGAAAATAACCTCTCACTCAACGTCAACAAAAACAAAGGAGATGATCGTGGACTTCAGGAAACAGCAGAGGGTGCACCCCCCTATCCACATCGACAGGACCGCAGTGGAGAAGGTGGAAAGCTTCAAGTTCCTTGGCGTACACATCACTGACAAACTGAAATGGTCCACCCACGCAGACAGTGTGGTGAAGAAGGAGCAACAGAGCCTCTTCAACATCAGGAGGCTGAAGAAGTTTAGCTTGGCACCTAAAACCCTCACAAACCTTTACAGATGCACAATTGAGAGCATCCTGTCGGGCTGTATCACCGCCTGGTACGGCAACTGCACCGCCTGCAACCGCAGGGCTCTCCAGAGTGTGGTGCGATCTGCTGAACGCATTACCGGGGGCAAACTACCCGCCCTCCAAGACACCTACAGCACCCAATGTCACAGGAAGGCCAAAAAGATCATCAAGGACATCAACCACCCGAGCCACTGCTTGTTCACCCCGCTATCATCCAGAAGGCGAGGTCAGTACAGGTGCATCAAAGCTGGGACCGAGAGAATGAAAAACAGCTTCTATCTCAAGGCCATCAGACTGTTAAATAGCCATCACTAACACAGAGGCTGCTGCTGCCTATTGAAATCACTGGCCACTTTAAGAAATGGAACACTAGTCACTTTAATAATGTTTACATATCTTGCACTACTCATCTCATATGTATATACTGTATTCTTTTCTATAATATTCTACTGTATCTTAGTCCATGCCGCTCTGTCATTGCTTGTCCATATATGTATATATTCTTAAATCCCATTCCTTACTAGAACTGTGTGTGTTGGGTATACGTTGTGAAATTGTTAGATATTACTTGTTAGATATTACTGCACTGTCGGAGCTAGAAGCACAAGCATTTCGCTACACCTGCAATAACATCTGCTAAACACGTGCATATGACAAATAACATTTTATTTGATTCGGTGTGCTTATCAATGTTGATGTGTTGCAGGTACTAAACTTTCTGTTCAAGCAGCTGGCACACAGTTCGGACACTCATCGGTATCACAAAAGACATGCAACCAGAGGTCTCTTCACAGTCCCCAGGTACAGAACAGAGGCTGGGAAACACACAGTATTAAACAGAGCCATGACTAAATGGAACTCTGCCACCCCAGGTAATTCAAGCTAGCAATAAAACCAGATTCAAAAACCAGATAAAAGAACACTTTACAGCACGACAGGGACCGTGAAGAGTCAGAAATGTTTATACATTTTGTATTCTATTTTGCATTGTATTTTGTACAGTATGTGATATGGTCCCATGTGGCTCAGCTGGTAGAGCAACGCCAGGGATGAGGGTTTGATTCATACGGGGGACCAGTACGAAAATATATGCACTCTGGATAAGAGCGTTTGCTAAAAGTAAAAATTTAAAAAATGTGATACGTGGTTGGGATACGACTGTGATATGTGGTTGTATTGCCTGGCTATCTTAAGATGAATGTACTAGCTGTGGGTCGTTTTGGACGGGAGCGTCTGCTGGATGGCTAAATTGTAATGTAAATGTAGTGCTATGTATGTATATTTTGTAATTTATTTGTTGTGTTGTTTCCTGTTTGGACCCCAGGAAGAGTAGCCGCTGCCTCGGCAGCAGCTAATTGGGAATCCTAATAAATACAAAAAAATGCACATGCACCTTTTCCACTCTTATCGATATTTGTTTTTAATTAAGTCATACAAAAGTGTTACATCGTGTGAAGTTTAAAATGCATTCTGTCATTACTAAATATGTAATGTAATATATTATAACATTAACATTCCTCAAATGAAGGGGATGATGACGCAATCTTTCCAAGAGGGAGGGAATCCAATTTCATTGGTCCTCAACTCGTGGCTCAGTCAGTTCATTCAGGTTAAAGTGGAGTTAGCCGTGAGTTAACCCACCCCGGAGCAGGTTAGTTCTGAAGGATTAGTTACCACAGAAATTGACCTGGCTAAAAGGTGAGCCACTTTCATATGACTGGTTACCCCGAGTTGAACGCAGAGTTGACCAAAGTTTCCTCTGTAACTTCTAAAACCTGCTTCGTAGGATACTTCCGTGCCTGTGCCATCCAAGTATATACAGTATTACGCAATTTTTTTCAAACGTAAAAAAGCCCCAAAAACATAATTTACCAGAATGCTAACAAAATGCTAACAAGTACTAAGGAATGCCGATAGCGGATGCTAGGTAAATGCTAATGAGCGCATGCAAACATTTACTACTAAGACAGACAAAACAGCTCATAAAGTTATGCAAGTATCTCAAAACCCAGTTTGCAGCACAAACAAAACAAAAATTAGACAGCAGGGATCTTAATCCAGGAGGGGATGTCTCTGCTGCTGTTACCAAGAAGCTTCATCTAGCAAGCTAACGTTAGCCAAAGTTTACATTAGGAAGTTAGCAAAACCCAGCTGGAGAGAATTGATTTGGCACATCTTAGACACGCTACATGTATGTGGACACCTGCTCGTCGAACATCTCATTCCAAAATCATGGGCATTAATATAAAGTTGGTCCCCCTTTGCTGCTATAACAGCCTCCACTCTTCTGGGAAGGCTTTCCACTAGATGTTGGAACATTGATGCGGGGACTTGCTTCCATTCAGCCACAAGAGCATTAGTGAGGTCGGGCACTGATGTTAGGTGATTAGGCCTGGGTCACAGTCAGCGTTCCAATTCATCCCAAAGGTGTTCGATGGGGTTGAGGTCAGGGCTCTGTGCAGGCCATTCAAGTTCTTCCACACTGATCGACAAACCATTTCTGTATGGACCTCGCTTTGTCCACGGGGGCATTGTCATGCTGAAACAGGAAAGGGCCTTCCCCAAACTGTTGCCACAAAGTTGGAACCACAAAATTGTCTAGAATGTCATTGTATGCAGTAGCGTTAAGATTTCCCTTCACTGGAACTAAGGCACCTAGCCTGAACCACTAAAAACAGCCCCAAACCATTATTCCACCTCCACCAAACTTTACAGTTGGCACTATGCATTGGGTCAGGTAGCATTCTCCTGGCATCCGCCAAACCAGATTTGTCTGTCGGTCTGCCAGATGGTGAAACGGGATTCATCACTCCAGAGAACGCATTTTCACTGCTCCAGAGTCCAATGGCGGCGAGCTTTACACCACTCCAGCCGAAGCTTGGCATTGAACATGGTGATCTTAGGGTTGTGTGAGGCTGCTCAGCCATGGAAACCCATTTCATGAAGCTCCCGACCAACAGTTCTTGTGCTGACGTTGCTTCCAGAGGCAGTTTGGAACTTGGTAGTGAGTTTTGCAACCGAGGACAGACGATATTTTTACGTGCTTCAGCACTCGGTGGTCCCATTCTGTGAGCTTGTGTGGCCTACCACTTTGCAGCTGAGCCGTTGTGGCTCCTAGACTTTTACACTTCACAATAACAGCACTTGCAGCTCTAGCAGGGCAGAAATTTGACAAACTGACTTGTTGGAAAAGTGGCATCCTATTACGGTTCCACGTTGAAAGTCACTGAGCTCTTCAGTAAGGCAATTCTACTGCCAATGTTTTGTCTATGGAGATTGCATGGCTGTGTGCTCGATTTTACACACCTGTCAGCAACAGGTGTGGCTGAAATAGCTAAATCCAGTAATTTGAAGGGGTGTCCACATACTTTTGTATATATAGTGTAGTTAATGTAATAGTTTAAGATATATAGCTGGCAAACATTAGTAGTGAATTTCATACAAGTGTAACTTGATCACCTCACTTAAGTTGCGCTGCAGTAAACTAACCCAATAAACTCCTGTTTTGCTCGTTGTGAAAGAAGGAGTCAGGCGCAGGAGGTAAAATACCGAAGTCCAGAGTTTAATCCGTTTGCATAAATCAAACGCCTAATTTGGTGAAAAAACGGGCCCCATGCATTGACTCAATCACTGAAGGAATGAGGGGAAGAGGATAACTAAATCGTACAGTCACATTATTCAGTGGTTGATAATCAATGCACGGGCGTAAACCGCCATCTTTCTTCTTCACAAAGAAGAAACTCGAGGAGGCAGGTGAAGTGGAGGGACGTATATACCCCTGGCGCAGGGACTCGGTGACGTATATTTCCATAGCCTCCGTTTCAGCCTGCGACAGGGGATACACATGACTCCTGGGAGGTACAGCATCTACCCGAAGGTTTATCGCGCAATCCCCCTCCCGATGAGGTGGAAAACGCGAGCGCCAGATCATGGTATTCGGAGGGAATGCGCACGGTGGGGGTACCGTCTGGACTTTCCATGTGGTCGCACCAATGGAAACACCTAGACACCTACCCGGACACTCACACGACCACCCCGTCAGAACCCTCTGCGGCTATGAGAAATTGGGGTTGTGAAGGGCTAACCATGGGATACCCAAGACTACAGGGTAAGCAGGAGACTCAATAATCATAAAGGTGATCTGCTCAACAAGTGTCTCCTGCGTAATCATGGTGACTTGTACAGTAACTTCCTTAACCAACCCAGACCCTAATGGTCGACTATCTAGTGCTCTGATGGGGAGTGGAATGGTTAGGGGAACCAATGAAATGCCTTGACAGTGTGCAAATGCCCTGTCCATAAAATTCCCAGCTGCGCCTGAATCGACTAGCGCCTTACACTGGGAACCTACCAAGTGATCTGGAAAGGAGATAGATAAAGTACAGTGTGCCCAGGCTCTGAACACGTTTGGGTGTTCGTTACCTGGGGTGATGCGTGAGTACCCTGCCTACCGCCTCCAGACCCAAACAAACGTTGACTGCGACGTGAGGTGGATTGTCCCTTCGTGCCACCAGAGTGGCACTGTCGCTGTCCTCCTGTGCTCTCTCGACCGGCAGCTCCCCCCAGCTCCATCTGCTCGGGGTCAGAGTCGTCCGGAGGGGGAATGGGAAGACCCCTACCAGGACGTCCTCTGGCTGCTAGCAGATTGTCCAGCCGGATGGCCATGTCCACCAGTTGGGAGATCGATAGCATGGCATCCCAGCAGGCTAGCTCCCGTCGGACGTCCTCCCTTAGGTGGCACTGGAAATGGTCTATCAGGGCCCGCTCGTTCCACCCGGACCCAGCGGAACTCCAGCGTGTAGTCCTGAGCGGTCCTCGTCCCCTGCCTTAGATGAACCAGTCGTTTGCCTGCCTCTCGACCCTCAGGCGGTTGATCAAAAACGTCCCGAAAGAGGCGAGCAAACTCCCCGTAGTTCTCTAACGTGGTACCTCCCTTGTTCCATACCGCGTTGGCCCACTCCAGGGCTCTCCCACAAAGGCAGGAAACGAGGACGGATACCTTCTCCCGCTCCCGGGGCTCTGGCCTGATGCTGGAGAAATACAACTCCAGTTGGAGTAGGAATCCCTTACATCGCGCTGCAGTCCGGTCAAACGCCGGTGGCCGGGATATCTGGATCCCTCCAGGGGCTGGGGTGTAGGTGGCTGGATCCGGTTGACCAGCTGGTCTCGATAGATCGGATCCTCTCTTCTCCAGGCGTTCTACCACCTGACGAACCCGATCCATCGCTTCCCCCAAGCTGGCCAACATCGAGGAATGCTCCTGGACCCTTGCCACAACTCCTGGCATGCGGTCTTCTCCTGCTGACTCCATATCAGATCAGGTGAGTGATTCTGTGACGAGGTGTGAAAGAAGGAGTCAGGCGCAGGACGTAAAATACCAAAGTCCAGAGTTTTATCCGTTTGCATAAATCAAACGCCCCAAGCGTCAAACGAAACTGTACAAGGGAAAACATCCACCTTGGCAAATAACACAGTGAAATGTAGCTCAACCGAGCTACACGCTCTCACAACAAAACAATCACTCACAAAGGCAAGGGGAACAGAGGGAACACTTATACACATACTAATTAGGGAAATGAGCACCAGGTGTGTGTGACAAGACAAGTGGAGTGATGAGAATGGGATCGGCAGTAGCTAGTACTCCGGTGACGACGAACGCCGAAGCCTGCCCGAACCAGGAGGGAGTCGTGAACACTCGTTGTGCTACTTTGTAAACAAACAAGTGACTGACTCAAACAGCTGTTTTGGGAAACTAGTACTGGTAAGATTCAAAATGAAAAATCTAACAGGCGTAATTATGAATGCCATCTGTTTTATCTATTACCTAGTGGACAAGTTGACTGCAGGTATTTATTTATTGAAAACGTACAAATATTCAGATTTATTAAAAACGGTATGGACGCCCAACCCTAGTTCGGACCACTGCTGGTTTTCTGTTATACCTGATAATTAATTGCACAAACCTGGTGTCCCAGGTCTGAATCACCCCCTGATTAGAGGGGAAGTAAATGTAATAAACAAAGCAGTGGAACTGGCTTCGAGGTCCAGATGTGAATTTGAGGGCTGTAGATTATCAGTATCTCAGTGCAAAATGCACATATAAATAGGACTATGGTCTTCTTACATAATCAGCTTGTAGAACGGCGGTGCAACATATTATTAAGCCTGGCAGGAGGCTGAGAGACAACAGCAAACAAAAGCAGATAGTTCCAGCACAAACTAATTGATAGCACCTCAATCCCCCTGAGCTATGAAATGTCCCTATTGATGGGTACTGAAACACTGCATGACTCATAACATCAAGTACTCAAAAACAAATTACATATGATGTGGTTCCTGCCACTTCAGAGATACAGAGGGGTAGTTTGCTTGTCCACTAAAATGATGGTAATATTAAATCACGATTGATTCACAATTATTTGATTGATTCACAAATTAATTACATAAAAGTGTTGCAGAGTATACAAAAGGGCCTGAAAAACATGTGCGCGCACACACACACACAAAAAAACATAGGTCAGAAGAGTGGCCTATGAGACATCTTAACCAGATATATTTGGCGGTTCTTCTCAACCAGTGACTCATTAGTGTCAACTTCTTCACTGTGTTAACAGCACACACACAACACAACGCTTTGTCCTACATTCAGTCTGATAACTGATAGTAAACAGCCCCTCCAGCCTTCTTACGCAAATGATTCTTCCCCTTCGCATTCTCTCTCGCTCTCAATAATAGATTAGGCCGTGTGGAGGTGACTTATTTGATTAGTACCCTGGAAGAAGAGTGTTAATTGTAAACATGAACGTCCCAGAAAAAGTAAATTGAGGTCAGGAAGCTGATTGGGTATTCAGAAAACATGATACTAAAAAGCTTTCAAGTAAAATAACATTGCTGTAGAGCAGGGGTATTCAAATCTTACCCGATGAGGTCTGGACCACTGCTGGTTTTCTGTTCTACCTGATAATTAATTGGACACACCTAGTATCCCAGGTCTGAATCAGTACCTGATTAGAAGGGAAGAAGAAAAGCAGTGGAACTGACTTTGGAGGTCCAGATTTGTCTATTTTAGGGCTGTCGAGGAACAGTGTCTCAAAGGACAGACAATGGACAGCAGCTGACAAGCATACCCATAACATGATGCAACCACCGCCATGCTTGAAAATATGAAGATTGGTACTCAGTGATGTGTTGGATTTGCCCCAAATATAGCACTTTGTATTCAAGACATAAAGTAAATTTATTTGCCACATTTTTTTGCAGTTTTACTTTAGAGCCATATTGTACAGTCTTCCTTCTTTTCACTTTGTCATTTAGGTTAATATTGTGGAGTTACTACAATGTTGATCCATCCTCAGTTTTCTCCTATCATAGCCATTAAACGTTGTAACTATTTTAAAGTCACCATTGGCCTCATGGTGAAATCCCTGAGCGGTTTCCTTCCTCTCCGGCAACCAAGTTAGGAAGGATGCCTGTATCTTTGTAGTGACTGGGTGTATTGATACACCATCCAAAGTGTAATTAATAACGTCACCATGCTCAAAGGGATATTCAATGTAGGGCTATTCCCGACTGAAAATAAATCTTTGTCGACCGAGAGTCGTCTGTTCTCTCGACCAATCGAAGTTTAAAACGTGTATTTTTCCATATATAGACACATCCTATGTGTTTTAATCAAATCAACTACATGTGCTGAGCTTGTCTGATGCTTTAAGCGCAGTATGATTAAATAATTAAGACACACAAATAACTAGAGGGAGTCTGACCGCAATTGATTTGATTGAGCCGGGCCGGGCTCAGACTGTGTGACTAGCACCCATTGTCTCTCTCTCCTCCCTGCTGCAGCGACCACCACAGAACATCAACAGTGTTTATCGCGCTGTCCGTGTTGCTGAAGCTGCAAGATAATTACATCCATTTCTGACGGAAAGGTTCTGGTACCAAAATCACTCATTTGTTTAGGAAAAACATTTCCTACTCCCTCAACCCTTGCTCTCTTTACATGACACATGTATACATTGCATGCAAGTGACCAATAGGGCCTGACCTATGGCATATCATAATCTCATCAATAAATTGGTTATAACAAACTTCGAAATACGGGAAAGCAAAATGGATGCAGATGACGTGCTCAGGATGTAAAGGGGAAGTCAGATGTGTGGAATAAATTTGACTAGTTGTGGAAAATACTGGAGATCAAGAAAAAGAAGGTAAGGAGCAAGCACTGCGTGCATATTATGTGTGCCAAACAGGTGCTATTAGATTACAATATCATTTTTCTGACCGTTTGCAACAACAAACTACACTAAATAAATGATAAGCGTACCAGAGTCTCTTGTAACTTATTTTTAGGAAAGCCTTTATTACAGCAAAGACTAAAAACAGTTGCATGCACTCGTGAATGCAATTGCCGACATGGAACAGTTTATTAATTATTTACGCTAATTATTCAAGGGTTGCTTTGTTATTTTATAACTAAAATGGTTGACTGTTTTTAAAATCATGAATGACTCATATGCTGTGTGATGACATGAATGAATGAATGATTGACACAGTAGCCTATATACTGTAAGAATTGAAATACAGTGGGTAAAAAAAGTATTTAGTCAGCCACCAATTGTACAAGTTTTCCCACTTAAAAAGATGAGAGGCCTGTAATTTTCATCATAGGTACACGTCAACTATGACAGACAAATTGAGAGAAAAAATTCCAGAAAATCACATTGTAGGATTTTTTATGAATTTATTTGCAAATTATGGTGGTAAAATAAGTATTTGGTCATCTACAAACAAACAAGATTTCTGGCTCTCACAGACCTGTAACTTCTTTAAGAGGCTCCTCTGTCCTCCACTCATTACTTGTATTAATGGCACCTGTTTGAACTACCTCAAAACAGTCACACTCCAAACTCCACTATGGCCAAGACCAAAGAGCTGTCAAAGGACACCAGAAACAAAATTGTAGACCTGCACCAGGCTGGGAAGACTGAATCTGCAATAGGTAAGCAGCTTGGTTTGAAGAAATCAACTGTTGGAGCAATTATTAGGAAATGGAAGACATACAAGACCACTGATAATCTCCCTCGATCTGGGGCTCCACGCAAGATCTCACCCCGTGGGGTCAAAATGATCACAAGAACGGTGAGCAAAAATCCCAGAACCACAAGGGGGGACCTAGTGAATGACCTGCAGAGAGCTGGGACCAAAGTAACAAAGCCTACCATCAGTAACACAACTACACCGCCAGGGACTCAAATCCTGCAGTGCCAGACGTGTCCCCCTGCTTAAGCCAGTACATGTCCAGGTCCGTCTGAAGTTTGCTAGAGTGCATTTGGATGATCCAGAAGAGGATTGGGAGAATGTCATATGGTCAGATGAAACCAAAATAGAACTTTTTGGTAAAAACTCAACTCGTCGTGTTTGGAGGACAAAGAATGCTGAGTTGCATCCAAAGTACTGTGAAGCATGGGGGTGGAAACATCATGCTTTGGGGCTGTTTTTCTGCAAAGGGACCAGGACGACTGATCCGTGTAAAGGAAAGAATGAATGGGGCCATGTATCGTGAGATTTTGAGTGAAAACCTCCTTCCATCAGCAAGGGCATTGAAGATGAAACGTGGCTGGGTCTTTCAGCATGACAATGATCCCAAACACACCGCCCGGGCAACGAAGGAGTGGCTTCGTAAGAAGCATTTCAAGGTCCTGGAGTGGCCTAGCCAGTCTCCAGATCTCAACCCCATAGAAAACCTTTGGAGGGAGTTGAAAGTCCGTGTTGCCCAGCACGGCGCTTGTAACGCCAAGGTAGTGGGTTCGATCCCCGGGACCACCCATATAAAAAAATGTATGCACGCATGACTGTAAGTCGCTTTGGATAAAAGCGTCTGCTAAATGGCATATTATATTATTATTAAAACATCACTGCTCTAGAGGAGATCTGCATGGAGGAATGGGCCAAAATACCAGCAACAGTGTGTGAAAACCTTGTGAAGACTTACAGAAAACGTTTGACCTGTGTCATTGCCAACAAAGGGTATATAACAAAGTATTGAGAAACTTTTGTTATTGATCAAATACTTATTTACCACCATAATTTGCAAATAAATTCATTAAAAATCCTACAATGTGATTTTCTGGATTTTCCTTTCCTCATTTTGTCTGTCATAGTTGACGTGTACCTATGATGAAAATTACAGGCCTCTCTCATCTTTTTAAGTGGGAGAACTTGCACAATTGGTGGCTGACTAAATACTTTTTTTCCCCACTGTATAGGCCTACTGTAAGTAAGTTACGGTATTAAGACTAAACAGGATGCGCTCTTAGGCCTACAGCTCGATGGTGGTTATACAAGACTGTTATACTAAGCCTACTAATGATGATGACATCACTTATTATAATGACCATAATAATAATAGTAATAATTAAAAATAAAAATAAGAAGGTGATCAAGAAGAAAATAGGGTTATTATTGTTATAATAATTTCTGACAATTTGGAATTTTGTAAACAACACTAAATAAATAAGTAACACCAAAAGAGGCTGTTCTAACAAAAATAAGTATAAAGCCTTTTTTACAGCATCGCAAAGTTAAAAAACAGCCGAATTTGTTTGCTTGAGGCTTGGCGCTCATGGAATCAGTAGGCTATAAAACAAACACTCAAACAGGCCCACAAGCAGGATCTGTCTTATTTCTGTAGATATACAGTGACTTCACCCCCCTTAGCATTTTTCCTATTTTGTTGCCTTACAACCTGGAATTAAAATGGATTTTTGGGAGGTTTGTATCATTTGATTTACAGAACATGCTTACCACTTTGAAGACGCTAAATATTTTTTCTTGTGAAACTATTCACCCCTTAAAGTCAATACTGTGTAGAGCCACCTTTTGCAGCAATTACAGCTGCAAGTCTCTTGGGGTATGTCTCTATAAGCTTGGCACATCTAGCCACTGGGATCTTTGCCCATTCTTCAAGGCAAAACTGCTCCAGCTCCTTCAAGTTAGATGGTGTACAGCAATATCAAAGCAAGTCAAACCACATATTCTCAATTGGATTGTGGTCTGTGCTTTGACTAGGCCATTCCAAGACATTTAAATGTTTTCCCTTAAACCACTCAAGTGTTGCTTTAGCAGTATGCTTAGGGTCATTGTCCTACTGGAAGGTGAACCTCTGTCCCAGTCTCAAATCTCTGGAAGACTGAAACAGGTTTCCCTCAATAATTTCCCTGTATTTAGCGCCATCCATCATTCCTTCAATTCTGACCAGTTTCCCAGTCCCTGCCGATGCTTCACTGTGGGGATGGTGTTCTCGGGGTGATGAGAGGTGTTGGGTTTGCGCCAGACATAGCATTTTCCTTGATGGCCAAAAATCTCAATTTTAGTCTCATCTGACCAGAGTACCTTCTTCCATACGTTTGGGGAGTCTCCCACATGCCTTTTGGCGAACACCAAACGTGTTTGCTTACTTTTTTCTTCAAGAAATTGCTTTTTACTGGCCACTCTTCCGTAAAGCCCAGCTCTGTGGAGTGTACGGCTTAAAGTGGTCCTATGGACAGATACTCCAATCTCCGCTGTGGAGCTTTGCAGCTCCTTCAGGGTTATCTTTGGTCTCTTTGTTGCCTCTCTGATTAATGCCCTCCTTGCCTGGTCAGTGAGTTTTGCTGAATACTTTTGCAAGACACTGTTTATGGATGATTTATCAAGCCAGGCACATTTAACAGTTGGGCTATTTATTATAGACCTAATTAAGTTGGGGTTTCCGCTCTCCTCACTTTTCTTAGACAATTAAGGCAAAGGCTGTTTTGTCGTCTCCTAACTCCACTTCTGCCTCCGCCGCATTGTTCTCAACACCAATATGCTGGTTAACTTTGCTTTTATGCACATAGCAACATTGTCTAGGAAAAGGCACCAATTCAACAGCACACTGATGTTTTAGAACGGTGGACAGCAACCGCTATCCAACGCGGGAGAAAGTGCATTTGTTATAAAATAATCTTATTTTTATTAGTGTTGCACCATTGTTCTTATGTAATATAACCATATACAATTTCAGTAGCACGTGTCTTAGAGTGATGGACTGTGCCATCCCCACGGCCTCCACAATGGATTTAGTCCACTCAAACAGGCGCGATTCAGACCAGTGTCTTTTACACTATGAATGTTTTTTTTGCTACTGCTCGACTAAAGAAATCTTGGTCGACCAACAGCCTATAGACCAAACAATCGACCAGTCGACTAAATGGGGTCAGCCCAGATTCAATGTCTGTTTTTTTTACCCATCTACTAATAGGTGCCCTTCTTTGAGAGGCATTAGAAAACCTCCCTGGTCTTTGTGGTTGAATCGTTGTTTGAAATTCCCTGCTCGACTGAGGGACCTTACAGATAATTAATTGTATGTGTGGGGTACAGAGATGAGGTAGTCATCATGTTAAACACTATTATTGCACACAGAGTGAGTCCATGCAACTTATTATGTGACTTGTTAAGCAAATGTGTACTCCTGAACTTTAGGCTTGCCATAACAAAGGGGTTGAATACTTATTGACTCAAAACATTTCAGCTTTTGATTTTTTATTAATTTGTACAAATATAATTCCACTTTGACATTATGGGGTATTGTGTGTAGGCCAGTGACACAAAATCTCAATCAATTTTAAATTCAGGCTGTAACACAACAAAAAGTAAAGGGGTGTGAATCCTTCTGAAGGCACTGTACATAATGTCTCCTACACAATAGGTGGGAGAAATCATAGAATTTCTATAGGATAAATAAATAAAACCATCCATATTATATGTGAACTGGTGGCCAATCTGACACATTTTCCAATGATTGTACAAAACGTTACTTGTATAAACCTTTACTTGTTAATAAAGAGAAGGCTGAAGACACAAGTGTTGTGTTTATCCAGGAGGACACATTACCCAACATGTGAAATCAAAAGATGACACTGTGCTCCTCTATTAATACCCTGGGGTGTGGTAGGGTATGTAGTAGCTCAGCTGGTAGAGCACGTCTGGCCAATAGTGGTATCCCGAGGACCATCACAAAAGGCACGAGACTGGTTGGTAAGCGTCTGTAATGCATACATGGCAGGACTGGTGCTAAACTCCCACTGATTAAGTCATCGCTGTAGCGAGGGGACCAGGCCAAATTACATTAGCATAATCACCATCTCCCTACAAGCTGTTCTACTGTCAAAAAGTGTATCCCTACCGTTATCTGTATGACAAGTGTCTGTCTAGGGTCTAGACCCTTGAAGACAGCTTTACTGAGCATTCGCAGTTAGTTATTCATATTATTCATTAAGTTATTCATGTGGGGTCCAAATGCAAATGTCAATTTACTCCTTCCAGGTGCAAATTTGCCACTTGGTACAAACACTTAGTAAATCAAGACCTGCATGTCTATCTGAAAACAGAGCAAACTCTCCTTTGGTGTTACGGATGAGATTCCACACACACACACACACAACCCCAATTAGGGCCAGGTTTTTTTAATATATATTTTTATGTTACCTTTATTTAACTAGGCAAGTCAGTTAAGAACAAATTCTTATTTACAATGACGGCCTACACCGGCCAAACCCGGACGACACTAGGCCAAATTGTGCGCCGCCCTATGGGACTCCCAATCAACGGCAGGTTGTGATACAGCCTGGAATCGAACCAGGGGGTCTGTAGTGACGCCTCAAGAACTGAGATGCATGCCTTAGACCGCTGTGCCACTCGGGAGCCCAGGTTACAGGTTCTACTGTAACACCAATAAAAAAATCTATGCGATATCGGAGAGAGTGATTGGTGTTGAGTCTAGTGGCCTCATCCGGAGAGCCACATGTCCCTCGGAGCGGTCGGAGCTGATTGTGAGGTGGGAAGTGTTGGCTGCAACCTTCTTCACACCAACTTATCTGCTGGGACACAAGTGCTGCTCCCAGGGGGGGGAGAGGGGAGACGTTTCTCACCCCTTAATGGGAAAGGACAGGTAGGTGGAAGGGAGGGAAGAGGGCGACCCTTACCTCTATCCTCAGGATGGGGTTGCTGGGGCTTCTTGTCGGCGCTCGGGACCTCGGGTTTGCGAGCTGAAAAGCGAAGCATGTTCCCGTTGTTTAGTAACGTCCTCCTCTCTTTACCGTCGATCTATGAGTCTATGAGGGCAGTCACTCGAACACAAAGCAAACTGAACAGATATTCTGCAGGCAGGAGGAGGATGTGGAGACACTCAAGTGTTTCCTGTGCAGACTAAAGGGAGAGTACAGAAATCTTTGCAGTGCTCCCTGCAAGCGCCTGTAACTTCAGATGTGGGTGTGCTAGATATGAGCCGTTCAGTCAGTCTTTACACCCCTCTCGGAAACAACAACCTCAAAGAAGAGAAAACAGTCTTTGTTTTTTCCAATCACGACAGATATCTAGGTGAATGCCGGTGCTATATAGAACAGCCAAGTACCTTCGTCAATTCAGAAAAGTAATAAAAATCGAAATACAAATATGTGAGCACTTAGAATGAATGGGCCTAGTGATTAATCATCATCATCCCCAAAATCTTACACCTTGGGGGCATTAGGGAAGTCTCCATGCTTCTAGAGATCTAGATCAAGATCTATGGCAAAGTTAAAACCCATTATACCGGAGGTATTTTATCTCTTCTAACAGCTGCAGGGATGAGAGCCATTGGAGTCTGCTATGTGAGACTACATTGTGCTATCAGACAGGAGTCAAAGGATCCTAAATACCTATATGCATCACGTCTCTGTAGGCCTTCACAGTTAGGCTCAGATCTGGACTGAGTTTACAACTTGGTACTAAACAAAGTTGGGAAAGTCTTAGATGTTGGTTTATTTTTCCTGAATCTTGGAACCCCTCGGGGTCGTAGTGCAACACAGTCATCATGTCAGCTCAAGGCAGGAAGTGCATTCTTAATAACGCACCAATTTAGGCACCCTCCCGGGAGATTTACACCACTTAAGAGAAAATCGTTTCAGAGGAGAGGGGCATTTAAATCTATAAATTATCCTGAGCAAGCGAGGAAGCGATTGGTGCCCTCCTTCTCCACCTCTCCATCAGATTATTTCTGGCCATTTCCCTCAAAAACTGTTGCCTGCCAACCAAGCATACAGAATTCGAGATTATGACAATTATCTGGTGGATTTTTCAACTTGTCGGCTCGGGGATTCGAGCAAGTGACCTTTGGGTTACTGGCCCAACACTCTAACCGCTAGGCTACCTGCTGCCCGTGATATTAGGTGACATGATGTGCTAATGGTCACAGGCAGAGGTACACGTTTATGTTTGTCTGCCCATATTGTTTGATACTGTACTAGAGACGACTCCAGTGGGGATGTTTAGAAAACAGATTGCGTGAACAGTTGCTTGCAAAACCACAGGTTTTTTCTTCTTGGAAACTAACGCTGAGAGAGAGATAAGTCTTCCGCTGCCTGCCTCTCCGTTAACTGAAAGTGATCTACTATTACACATGCTCATCTACAGGAGATTGATGATGGTCACTTGTTCCTTATGAAACAGGCCTTACCTATGCTTTTTGATGGTGGCGGCGGCTTCTTGGGTCTCTGAAAAACACAAAGTAGGTCAATGTGACAAAGAGGACTTCTCATTAATCTACAGTAGCCCTCAGTTTAAACATCAGCAGATACACCATGATGGCCAACAAGTACAGAGAGAAATAGCACTTTCTTGCCCCACTGAATTAGGTTCAACATTCAGGGAATATGTTAATAAGTACAGTACGTAGTAAGGCAACCAGTCAAGCCTTTTTCTAAAGAAAAGCAAGCCAGAATACCTTGTTACGGGTCAACAAGGCTGATGAATAACAATCCAGAATTAATTTGAATTGGCCACAACTCAAAGGACACAGAATTTCAATTGAATTTGAAGGAAGAAGAATTTAATTCAAATCAATTCAAACCAATTCAGCTAAGACATGAAACATGAGTCTCATTCATTTGACAAATCATTTATCAAAAGGATATGCCACTTATTAATGCAAAGAATACACATACCATTTCAAACATTAGTTTGATAACTTAAAGATGTCAAACCAACAGTATTTTCCTTTGTCATGAGATGTTAGATTCTTCCCTTCCATACTACAGTGTTTGATCTAATGCATTCTGGGAAATTTATTCTGTATCGCGGCCTGGTATGGTAACAGCTCCACCCTCAACCGGAAGGCTCTACAGAGAGCGGTGCGGACGGCCCAATACAGGCCCTCCAGGTCATTGACACCAGGCGGTGTCTGAGATACACACTTTTCACAATCACCACATACGGTGCTGCGACTGTCTATTATCCTATCCTGTTGCCTAGTCAATTTACCCCTACTATATGTACATAGCTACTTCAGTTACCTCGTACCCCTGCACATTGACTCGGTACAGGTACACCCTGTATATAGCCATGTTATTTTTACTTGTTATTCGTTATTTACTGTGTATTTATTCCTTGTGTCAAATCACCCCCTTCCCCTTGTCCCTCCATTTGCGCATTCACACATGCTTCCCCCATATGCACAAGTGTCCCAAAGCTGAGGGAGTGAAAAGGGTGAAGGTGCTAATTAATCCCTTCGATAACAACTTAGACCGAGTCAGCTACGCTGCCGGCTTCAGAGCGAAGCGGTATCCCATAACGCACCGCATCATTTTTGAGTTTGCGCAATTTCACACAAAAGAATAGTCGTCCCTAATTATGAGTCACCTGTATTTGTATGTGTCTGATTTCAAGGCTTGATACATGTAACATATGAAATACCTCCCAAATTAAATGTTTAACTGTTACTGAGGTTTATATCTACAGGGGGGATTTTCTCATTTGAAGGTCATGCTTTTTTTATTATTTAAAAGTGGAACATGAATTGCATTACTCAAGTCATGAGCGTGCCCCGAAATGTATTGGTTTATTTGATCCCTTGCCACTCTTGAAGTCACCCTCTGAGTTTTGTCAGCAACATGTGACAATGGAGGGCCCTCTGAGCAAGTTGGTAGGGGCGAGGGGAGTGGTTTGGGATTAACCGAAAGACAGTAGGCCTGGGGTTAATTGTTTGTTCAAGGGGACACAACGCTTTCATGTTTTTTTCAGTGCGCAACTAAATTCAATTACTTTGGAGGCAATTCCGCAGATGAATTTCACATTTAACAAAGAAGAAAGGCAGGGTCTGTTCAACCATTGTTTGTTGCTCCAAAGAATGACCGCCCTTTGCTGTAATATTTACAACAAAGTTTGAATGATTTTGGTCTTTATCAGTTTCTTTAAATTCTTCCCAATTCATGGTATCATTTCTGCATGACTTCTGTAATACATTTGAACATGCTTAGGCTTTATTCTTACCTGATACCTTTCCAATTGAAACTGTATATCAATAGAAACACAGGGCTTCCTTACTGGAAGGTCATGTGCCAGAGATGCAGATGTCACGACAGCTGTTCCAGGGAGCCAGCCTGAGCAATGCACTGGGCCGAATCACTGATCTACAAATCACCTTGCGCCTTGATCCTTAGATAGAAAGATTAACGAATCTGCACAGTGCCTTGCTCAGGCCCATCAGTGTGTCAGCGCTGAGGAGGAGTGATGCCAGGCATATAATGCGGAGCATGAATCAGAAGAGAAACACATGCTCCAAATGAATACAACAAGCAATTATGCTCAGTTTCCTTGAATAACCTACACTGATCTTAATCTTGCTCATCTTAAAATGTGCTCTAATGTTTGTCCTATGGAATTACACTAAGTCCTTAATAGGTGATGCCAAGCAGTAAGACACTGCAGTACTACTGACAGCTTCTAGACAAGAAGTGTGTGCTTCATATTCATAGCCCACATTCAATAGGTTTGTAAGGAAGTCTTCCACAAGCCCAATGGGATCATTCTATTATAGTGTGATGACAACTTCCATGGCAACTTTCCATGTTAAGGCTATACCTGACAAACTATGGTAGCTACCACCATTATCTAAACGGAGAGCTAAAAGCAGCCACTTGCCATTTCATGTCTTACTTGAGGGGCCCTCATTAGTTTCTGCAGGGTTCAGAAACCATACTGACTGACTGAGTGCTGTAGTCAAGAGGGACCAAAGCACCAACGACCCCAGGGAACGTGGGAAATAATGCAGACGTTTCTTTCTCTCAACCACATTAAAGAGTGAGAGACCGGGGAGATGGAAATAAACTAACGATATTTACTCTATCAACAGCATCAGTGGGACACCTATAAGTGGTGGATTAGGAGGTTTAAAGCTCAGTCGTTCTCCTGTAAGTCAACTTCATGCAGTGATAATAGGATGGATACAGCCACAGGCCACTGCAACATTTCATTGCTCCTTGCCAGCACCACAAAGATGCATACTGGTATGTATCCTGTAACAACCTACACTGGAACAAAAACAATTTAGAAATAGAGAGAGAGATGGAGAGAAAGAGAGAACAAGAATGAAAACAGAGAGGAAGAGAAAGAGCGAAAGAGACTGGCCTGACAACCTCTCTTAATGGAGATCTGTTCATGGCTGCCCTCTACAGAGCATCTAGCAGAACTGAGAACATACACTTCCCATCCCTCCATCTCATGAACATTTGACCGGCGTGTTTCTCAACCATCACATGAGCCAGTGCTCATCACATTCCCTCTGCCTAGGCCAGGGCCTTAAACAAAGGGCAACATTGAGCTCATTTATGGAGTAAAAACTCTCCCAACACTCCATGCCAGAAGGCTGTGCTCCACCACTGTTTCACCCATTGACCTACATGCGGGGAGGCAGAGCAGCGTGTTCTCTCCAGCAGGCCGTAACACGACACAACAACAGCAGCCACTGTGTGGGCCGATGAGGCAACAAGGGCCAGGTCTCTTTGCCATGCCGATGGAACTAGTTCAAGTACCAGGAACTTTATTTACGATTAAAGGAGTCTTTGAGTCTTCTCTGAAATTCAACTTTAACAAATTAAAACAATTTAGCTGGAGGATACTTTTTGGTCAGAAGGAGGCACACAATTGATATTGTGCACTTCTCTTTGAACAGAACAGCTGTGAGTAATGTTCCCTCTAAGATGTGTGTGTGCTTGGGCGCAGCTTCCCCAGGACTGCCTCACAGATGAAATACCAGCATGCAAAAGAGATGCACGAGATTGAACTTCACTCAACTTTAGTAGTTTGCCCCGTTAGTTTACATTATCAACGTTTCCCTCTAATGTGGGAATTGTGATCGAATCAACATAATATTAGCCCCTTTCAATGCAACATACCGAAACAAATCTAACTAAACAAGACTTAGTCTGTGATTTTGTTTTAGGCAGAGTGCATCGTCTGAGGATTCTATTGACAGCGCAAAGCATGTAGCCACGTGTGCACATTTGTTCATATTCTATGCTAGTTAATAGCCCAGTTATAGCTAATTTCTGGTCAGCAATGGGGTGTGATTGCTGCCTACAAGAGCACAAAACATGTACATTTCTAGCCATCCTTGAAAATCGAGTCAGGTAAAAAGCTTTTTTATGTCTTAAAGGGGCAGTGTTGTATTTTGAGACAGGCTTGAATAAGCTAAGAAGCCAATAGGCAGAGGTTAGCAGTCATTCATTTTTGTCTGATTTTGCTATGATAATGGTATGGGGATAATAATTCATGTTATTTTGTAAAGTGGTTTCAAACAACACAATACAACATTTTAAGTCACCTCCTTGTCTGTGTGGCTAAACAGGTTAATGTCAAGCCCTGCATTTTTTTCAAAAGTCTCATTGAATGTAGGCTACATTGAACACCATACATTGGTTACTACTGTAGGCTGTATCATAGAACAGCTTTTTCAATAGATATTTACATGTAAAAATGTTATTGGATGCATTTTCTCCATTGTTTCTGATGGTATGCCACTCTGGTAGACTTATATCAGGGGATAGGCAACTGGAGGTCCCTTTTGTAGGCCCGCCCAAAAAATACATATATTTTTTGGAACTCACTCGAGGTCTCAACTTCCTGTTGAGAGTTAGAATAGTCGAATACACAACGTGCAAATTCGAAATTTGGTGGTGCATCAGCAGTTTTTCTCTCTCAATTAACCCATGTCAGCTAAACTTAGTTTAGATTGGTAAGTTAGTCTAGCCATCTAAACTTGTAGTAATAATGGTTGAACTACCGACCGGGGACCCCCACTGATTTTGTTAGGCCATCTCACTCCGATATCAAAAACGGCAAACATTTCTCTCCACCCTATGACAAAATCTGTAGAATTGCAGGAAATAAGCTGTAAAACTGCAAAACAATTGCTCTGCCCCATGGCAAAATGATTAGAAAATTCATGAAATGAGTTATAAAATTGCTAAATCTTATCTCTATGCCCCATGGCAAAATGTGTAGAGGGGGCCCCTAAAATGTTTTGATTGCAAGGTGCGGGGGGCCCCCAAAAGGCTAGGGCTCTGACAGCATGTGTGGGTATGGATGTGGGTACGCAGACCCGCGAGCCACTGTGGCCCCTCATGTTAAGGTCAGATTTTATGTGGCCCACACCCCTATCAAAGTTGCAGACATAAAATTTGCTCAGTGCCGAACATTTTTTGAAGGAACATTGGCTGTGAGGGGTCTTCGCTAGAGACAAGATTAAAACTGTTAGAGCTCAGTAACTATTATGTTTCAGTCTAAAGTGAGTGATGACTTGACAAAGACCCCTGACAAAGACCACACATTACGGTGGGTCCAATATGACCAGTCAGCAGAACATTCCCAGGCTACCACTCTCATCATAACTGTGTTTTATATCAATGGAAGAGGCCCATATGAATTATGTGAGCATACACCAACACCATGCACTTTAACACAAGCATGTGGACAGCCCAGCGTACCTCTTCTGCTTCCTGCTTGGGAGACATTTTGACTGATCCTCTTGATGTGGGAGCTGGCTGCAACATGAAGACAGTTTATTTAAAAAATATACACTGCTCAAAAAAATAAAGGGAACACTTAAACAACACAATGTAACTCCAAGTCAATCACACTTCTGTGAAATCAAACTGTACACTTAGGAAGCAACACTGATTGACAATAAATGTCACATGCTGTTGTGCAAATGGAATAGACAACAGGTGGAAATTATAGGCAATTAGCAAGAAACCCCCAATAAAGAAGTGGTTCTGCAGGTGGTGACCACAGACCACTTCTCAGTTCCTATGCTTCCTGGCTGATGTTTTCGGTCACTTTTGTGGAAGCATGAGACGGAGTCTACAACCCACACAAGTGGCTCAGGTAGTGCAGCTCATCCAGGATGGCACATCAATGCGAGCTGTGGTAAGAAGGTTTGCTGTGTCTGTCAGCGTAGTGTCCAGAGCATGGAGGCGCTACCAGGAGACAGGCCAGTACATCAGGAGACGTGGAGGAGGTCGTAGGAGGGCAACAACCCAGCAGCAGGACTGCTACCTCCGCCTTTGTGCAAGGAGGAGCAGGAGGAGCACTGCCAGAGCCCTGCAAAATGACCTCCAGCAGGCCACAAATGTGCATGTGTCTGCTCAAATGGTCAGAAACAGACTCCATGAGGGTGGTATGAGGGCCCGACATCCACAGGTGGGGGTTGTGCTTACAGCCCAACACCGTGCAGGACGTTTGGCATTTGCCAGAGAACACCAAGATTGGCAAATTCGCCACTGGCGCCCTGTGCTCTTCACAGATGAAAGCAGGTTCACACTGAGCACATGTGACAGACGTGACAGAGTCTGGAGACGCCGTGGAGAACGTTCTGCTTCCTGCAACATCCTCCAGCATGACCGGTTTGGCGGTGGGTCAGTCATGGTGTGGGGTGACATTTCTTTGGGGGGCCGCACAGCCCTCCATGTGCTCGCCAGAGGTAGCCTGACTGCCATTAGGTACTGAGATGAGATCCTCAGACCCCTTGTGAGACCATATGCTGGTGCGGTTGGCCCTGGGTTCCTCCTAATGCAAGACAATGCTAGACCTCATGTGGCTGGAGTGTGTCAGCAGTTCCTGCAAGAGGTAGGCATTGAGATGTATGGACTGGCCCGCCCGTTCCCCAGACCTGAATCCAATTGAGCACATCTGGGACATCATGTCTCGCTCCATCCACCAATGCCACATTGCACCACAGACTGTCCAGGAGTTGGCGGATGCTTTAGTCCAGGTCTGGGAGGAGATCCCTCAGGAGACCATCCGCCACCTCATCAGGAGCATGCCCAGGCGTTGTAGGGAGGTCATACAGGCACGTGGAGGCCACACACACTACTGAGCCTCATTTTGACTTTTTGACTTTTAAGGACATTACATCAAAGTTGGATCAGCCTGTAGTGTGGTTTTCCACTTTAATTTTGAGGGTGACTCCAAATCCAGACCTCCATGGGTTGTTCAATTTGATTTCCATTGATCATTTTTGTGTGATTTTGTTGTCAGCACATTCAACTATGTAAAGAAAAAAGTATTTAATAAGATTATTTCATTCATACAGATCTAGGATGTGTTGTTTAAGTGTTACCTTTATTTTTTTGAGCAGTGTATGTATGTTTTTATAACTAAACATGTATGATCCTTAGACAAATGAATGACTTTACACATAGGCTACTAGGGGACACAAGGAAACACATATGGGTTCTGACGTTCACTACCACTTTTATCTTACCTCTTTGTCTTCATCTGACATAACAGTCACAAAGTTGTCAGGAAAGACCCCCTCTTTACCTCCGACCTCCCCTCTCCACCACCCCGGCTCCCCCGTGTCCTGAAACATAACAAGAACTGTATTGGTAAACCACTTTTCAAACATTATGATGAAAAGGCTAAGATAAAAGCACAGAACATCATAATACAGACAGTTGGTAGACAGGAGTCTGAGAAACGTTCTAAATGTCTGCATCAGGCCATTTTGTCATCAAAACAAATTCTCCATCTCCTCTGAATAGACAATGATGACCTTGATTCAATATAATCAGCTTAGATCAGCTTCAGAGCTGATAAAAGGCATCTCCACAGCCTCACTTCATGTTAGATGCAGCATTCACATATGCAGCGTTTACTGTGAATGCAGTCTCCGCGAACGCAGAAACATTGCCTTTAGATTTCAAATCATGCTGAATGCAGCCCTTGAACTTGAACATAAATCTGCTTAATGGACACTAGATGGCGCTTAAACATCATGATTTACCCACAGCGAAACATGTACTGTCATAATGTGTCTGCCTTAAATAACAAACCATGATTAGAGAGACACATAACCTCTTAATGGTAACTCAACCTCTCCAGACAGACTAGCATTATGTCTTGACCGCGTTCCCAGTCAGGGCATTAATGCTTTTCTTCAGGGTGTGAAATTCAACAGGGACCCAAGTCCCCAGTCTCTGGCCAACATCAAGTAAAGCTAACTGCCATAGATCACCTACTTGCTATGACGACAGCTTCCTCTCATCATGCTGCTTCCAAAACACAGCAGGGTGCTCGTTGGTGATGAGCATCGTGTTTAGTGGGCATTTTGAGATCATTTTGAAATGGAAAGGTACTACCTGAACTGGTCCAATAAGAGGATCACTCATTTTATTTTTCTGATTCAAAATGTTGTCGTGCCTACTGCAAACTACCCAGGTGTACCTACATCCCAATACGAAGCATTAGGACTAAATACTAAAATCTGTCCCTGGGGTCCTGGTCCAGTTCTTGCTCACAACATTCACCTACGTCACTAGGGAAGAACAGGGTTGGAGAGTGTGCAGTAAGATGGATGAGCACAATCAGTACGACTACACCTGGGTCTGGTCTGGGGGTGAGATTAACACACTGAAGACCACGGTCTGGGAAGAACCATGTTGACCAGGACCAAATAAATCCTGTTTATATGTGGCACATTTGCCAGGCTTAAAGTGTAGACACAGGGCTGGGAACAAGCCTATAGATCCTCTACTTACCTCTCTCCCTTACAAGATGGACAGTTATGTAGTCTGTTTGAAAACATTTTGACTAGCAAATGGAGACGGTTGAAGTAGTAGCAGTAGTAGTAGCTTTAAGCTTTTCCACTGAGTATAGGCTAGGGCCACGGATTTGTTGCTGGTCAGGGTGGCTTTACTTACCTTACTCAATATCTGTATGACGTCACCCTCTTTCAGTGTCAGCTCGTCTTCGTTTGTGGACTCAAAAGAAAAGGTGGCCTTGCAGTATTCTTTTACTGGGGAAAGAGGAACAACACTCTTGTTGAGAAATGGAGTCATTGACAAACAAACCACACACACAGAATACATGAACACCAGTTAAGTAATGGATGTGATACGTTTTTTTTCCTAGTGATACCATTACCATTGGCTAATCCTAACACTGCAGTTGGCTTTAAAAGTTGAACGCTTAGCTATGTAGCAACTGTGTGATTGTAGTTACACATTCTCCCACAATATATACCCCTTGAACCTACCCTCAATGTAAGAACAACATGTAAGAAACACAATAAAACACCATAAATGTTGTGTTATGATGATCAAGTGTAATGTCTGAGAACACAACACTAGATTACATTTAGCATAAAACAGTCACTTCTAATTAGAAACACTGGGACCTTTACCCTCTCCCTTACCTTTTGCTTTGCTGTCCCCCTCTGCTTTCTGGGAGTCTGTCGTGATGGAATGGGCGGGCTTTGCGGCAGATGGTAATGATGGGATTGGCTAAAATGAAGCAAACCACAGATGGATTTACTGACATGATTAGATGCACAGCGCAATGCCCAGATGGTTTCCACCACATTCCTGACCGGAATGAACACAGAGCCATCAACGGACTCACTGATTGGTCAACAGACAGTGTGTCAGTCAGCGTGCAGGTCAGTGTTTGTGAAGAGTTTGCCAGTCTACTACAGAGTATGTCACATGGGTTAAAAGAGTTAGACCAACATCAGAAAGCTTGGGATGGGAAAGAATCGACATGGAACAGCAAGCCTTTGTTAGTTACGGAGCGAGCAGAGAGACAAGTGGTAGAGCCAGGCAGGCCTAAGGTAGTCTGTGTTTTGTCTCGGCTGAGAGGAATGTCCTATGGATTGAGAGCAACAAGCCGTTGAGTCACGAGAAGAGAGAGAGAGCAGAGAGAGAGAGAGAGTGAAAGAGAGAGAAAGAGAAAGAGAGAGAGAGAGGAGATGCATCTACTGATGGAGTGACTGAACGACAGCGTAATGGAATATGCCATGTTGTAAGCTGTGGGACGAAGACTGAACCAACGCTGCCATGACAAAGGAGGGGGAGGAGGAGAAAGAGAGAAGAGTTTCAGAGGGGGTTAAATGGATGCTAGAAATCGTCAACTGAAACCTACAGTGCGCTATTAGCGGGACTATTAATTCAGTTATCACTATTAATGCAAATAAAGGATGTCGCAAATTAATCTGGATGTGCTGCTGCAGTTTGTCTGTAAACACAGACAAACTCCCTCAGAAACTCCCTCAGAAACACACTGAAATACTCTACATGACCAAAAGTATGTGGACACCTGTTCGTTGAACATCTCATTCCAATATCATGGGCATTAATATGGAGTTGGTCCCCCCTTTGCTGCTATAACAGCCTCCACTCTTCTGGGAAGGCTTTCCACTAGATGTTGGAACATTGATGCGGGGGCTTGCTTCCACTCAGCCACAAGAGCATTAGTGAGGTTGGGCACTGATGTTGGGTGATTAGGCCTGGCTCACAGTCGGCGTTTCAATTCATCTCAAAGGTGTTCGATGGGGTTGAGGTCAGGCCTCTGTGCAGGCCAGTCAAGTTCTTCCACACCAATCTTGACAAACCATTTCTGTATGTCACGCTAAAACAGGAAAGGGCCTTCCCCAAACTGTTGCCACAAAGTTGGAAGCACAGAATCGTCTAGAATGTTATTATATGCTGTAGCGTTAAGATTTCCCTTCACTGGAACTAAGGGCCCAAACTAGCCCAAACCATGAAAAACAGCCCCAGACCATTATTCCTCCTCCACCAAACTTTACACTTGGCACTATGCATTGGGGCAGGTAGCGTTGTCCTGGCATCCGCCAAACCCAGATTAATCCGTTGGACTGCCAGATGGTGAAGCATGATTTATCACTCCAGAGAACGTGTTTCCACTGCTCCAGAGTCCAATGGCAGCGAGCTTTACACCACTCCAGTCGACACTTGGCATTGCTCATGGTGATCTTAGGCTTGTGTGCGGCTGCTCGGCCATGGAAACCCATTTCATGAAGCTCCCAACGAACAGATATTGTGCTAAAGTTTGGAACTCGGTAGTGAGTGTTGCAACCGAGGACAGAGGATATTTATGCGCTACGTGCTTCAGCACTCGGTGGTCCCATTCTGTGAGCTTATGTGGCCTACCACTTCGCGGCTGAGCCGTTGTTGCTCCTAGATGTTTCCACTTCACAATAACAGCACTTACAGTTGACTGGGGCAGCTCTAGCAGGGCAGAAATTTGAAGAAATGACTTGTTGGAAAGGTGGCATCCTATGACAGTGCCACGTTGAAAGTCACTGAGCTCTTTAGTAAGGTCATTCTACTGCCAATGTTTGTCTATGGAGATTGCATGGCTGTGTGCTCGATTTTATAAACCTGTCAGCAGCGGGTGTGGCTGACATAGACGAATCCACTAATTTGAAAGGGTGTCCACATACTTTTGTATATACAGTTGAAGTCGGAGGTTTACATACACCTTAGCCAAATACATTTAAACTCAGTTTTTCACAATTCCTGAAATGTAATCCTAGTAAAACTTCCCTGTCTTAGGTCAGTTAGGATCACCACTTTATTTTAAGAATGTGAAATGTCAGAATAATAGTAGAGAGAATAATTTATTTCAGCTGTTATTTCTTTCATCACATTCCCACGGAGTCAGAAGTTTACATACACTCAATTAGTATTTGGTAGCATTGCCTTTAAATTGTTTAACTTGGGTCAAACATTTCGGGTAGCCTTCCACAAGCTTCCCACAATAAGTTGGGTGCATTTTGGCCCATTCCTCCTGACAGAGCTGGTGTAACTGAGTCAGGTTTGTAGGCCTCCTTGCTCGCACATGGTTTTTCAGTTCTGCCCACAAATGTTCTATAGGATTGAGGTCAGGGCTTTGTGATGGCCACTCCAATACCTTGACTTTGTTGTCCTTAAGCCATTTTGCCACAACTTTGGAAGTATGCTTGGGGTCATTGTCCATTTCGAAAATCCATTTGCGACCAAGCTTTAACTTTCTGACTGATGTCTTGAGATGTTGCTTCAATATATCCACATACATTTTCCTTCCTCATGGCGGCAGGTAGCTTAGTGGGTAAGAGCGTTGTGCCAGTAACCGAAAGGTCGCTGGTTCTAATCCCCGAGCCGACTAGGTGAAAAATCTGTCGATGTGCCCTTGAGCAAGGCACTTAACCCTAATTGCTCCTGTAAGTCGCTCTGGATAAGAGCGTCTGGTAAATGACTAAAAATGTAAATGTAAATCTATTTTGTGAAGTGCACCAGTCCCTCCTGCAGCAAAGCACCACCACAGCATGATGCTGCCACCCCCGTTCTTCACGGTTGGGATGGTGTTCTTCGGCTTGCAAGCACCCCCCCTTTTCCTCCAAACATAACGATGGTCATTATGGCCAAATAGTTATATTTTTGTTTCATCAGACCAGAGGACATTTCTCCAAAAAGTACGATCTTTGTCCCCATGTGCAGTTGCAAACCGTAGTCTGGCTTTTTTATGGCGGTTTTGGAGCAGTGGCTTCTTCCTTGCTGAGCGACCGTTCAGGTTATGTCGATATAGGACTTGTTTTACTGTGGATATAGATACTTTTGTACCCATTTCCTCCAGCATCTTCACAAGGTCCTTTGCTGTTGTTCTGGGATTTATTTGCACTTTTCGCACCAAAGTACGTTCATCTCCAGGAGACAGAACGCGTCTCCTTCCTGAGCGGTATGATGTACTATTGTTTGTACAGATGAACGCAGTACCTTCAGGCGTTTGGAAAATGCTCCCAAGGATGAACCAGACTTGTGGAGGTCTACAATTTTTTTTCTGAGATCTTGGCTGATTTCTTTTGATTTTCCCATGATGTCAAGCAAAGAGGCACTGCGTTTGAAGGTAGGCCTTGAAATACATCCACAGGTACACCTCCAATTGACTCAAATTATGTCAATTAGCCTATCAGAAGCTTCTGAACCCATGACATCATTTTCTGGAATTTTCCAAGCTGTTTAAAGACACCGTCAACTTAGTGTATGTAAACTTCTGACCCAATTGTGATACAGTGAATTATATGTGAAATAATCTGTCTGTAAACAATTGTTGGAAAAATTACTTGTGTCATGCACAAAGTAGATGTCCTAACCGACTTGCCAAAACTATAGTTTGTTAACAAAAGATTTGTGGAGTGGTTGAAAAACAAGTTTTAATGACTCCAACCTAAGTGTATGTAAACTTCCGACTTCAACTGTATAGTCTATCTCCTAGAAACACTGAAATATCTCCATCAGAAACACACTGAAATAGCTACCTTAGAAACACACTCTGAAATATGTCCCTTAGATATGATGCCAGGAAACTAGGTCAGTTAGAGGGAGCAGGGAAAACTGCCTGCCTGCCATCCAAACAATTAGTGAACAAAACAAAGCTGAGGATGTGGAAGGGTTGACAAAGAAACCCAACCCACGCTACGCTGCGCCACCTCTCCCAGGACTTAAACAAACACTCAGGGGATTCCAAAAGGCCAGCTACACCTACGATTACTCCTTCATGCAACACTAAACAATACTGACTGTGTAAAAGTGGCTGAACTCAGAATGTTAGCTAACGTAAAACAAGTTCATAAACCAACATTATCCAATGTAAAATTATTTCATACACCAGCATTGGTGTTAATGCAATCCAGTTGGAATACATTTCTGACTTTTGTGATATGATCCTCAGTATCAACATGCTAACATTCCTTACTATTTTTATAGTGTTATGTAACATATGACAGTTGGAAACTTTTTGGACACTTAAAAAGCATGCCCATCTTCCTCTTAATTGTGAATTAGTTCTCAGAGGACTTTGGCCTATTTTAAGGGGAAATATGTGAGCCTTATTGGGACCTGTTGAGGTCCATGACTCCCTGTGAGTGAGTTCTCAGACAGACATCTCTCAGTCCTGGCTCAGCTCACTTACTTTGTCTCTCTTCTCTTCTCCCTCTGCGCTGGGCAGGCGGACCTTCAGCTTGACTGAGCCTTCCTTGAAGATGTCCCCGAAGCCCACCCCCCGGATCTTCTTGGGCTGGGCGATCACTCCGTTGCCTGGAGAGGGGTCGATGGGGGACGTGGGGGTTGGGGGGAGCAGAGCTTCTTTACCGCTACCGTCTGTGGGAAGGACAAAATGTATAATGGAACAAAACAGAAACAAGTACATTTGTATATGTGCATGAGAAGAACACACACACGCTCGCCCACACACACACACACACAAACACAAACACACACACACACACAAACACAGGCACTATAGCCTGTACATATGCACCTGTCACAACAGGTAGGCTATAGGGCTCTCTTATCTAGATACAATAATAGAAACAAAAGCCTGGAGATCCAGCAAATAACCTAAATCCATTAGCAGCTCTAACTTGTTATGACATGCGCTGATTGAACACGAGTCACGCTTTGTTAGCTCCATTATTACCGGTTTCATCTGTTACGTCATCCGTCTCTCCATCTTCGTTCGTCTCAATCTCTTTGACGAAGTTGGAGGGGAACAGTCCTGATTTGCCGTTCATGGTTCCACTCCACCAGCCTTCCTCTACCTGGAACAACCAAACAGAACCCTCTGAATACCTGATGTAAAAATCTAACCACATTAGAATAATATAACATATCATAAATCACCAAGTTACAACATTAGCCTATAGCCTAAGGTTAGTGCTGGGCGATTAGTGCTTTTTGAGGTTGGTTTGATTATTTAAAAAAATTACCTTTATTTCTGTTTTGATTATGTTTTTAAACATGAAATTAATTATGCATTATGTGGGTTTGAATGCTGTAACACAGAATAAAACAATTAATAAAAGTCCCATGGTGGTAGTGACTGCCCATTACTGCTTATCACGTATTAACCATCATTTATTCACATGACTTATATTTCAGTTGTTGTGTAAATGGCTCAATATAGGGCAGTGTAATGAAGCACTAGCCTCACCTCCTCATTGATGTCGATGGTATCCCCTATCTTCAGCTCCAGCTCATCCTCGTTCTGGGGCATGTAATCAAACAGCGCCTTGCACTGCCGCTTCTTAGACTCTGCAACAACAACAACAAAAGACAGGAGCCTGAGAAGGCTAGGAACACCAGTTACAACAGTCCGCTCGCTGCTCAATGGGTCGGCTAAAGCGCAAAAGTCCTGGACGCGTGTGCATGGGTGTTTGTTTATGGTGTGTGTGTATACCCTGGTGTGCCTGAGGGCAGTGTGGGAAGGGTGTCTGGATCCAGGAAGTGGAGGAGGAGAACACTCCCCTCCTGCTAGGAGCACTATGGGACTTTTCAGCAAGGTGATAATGTGGCAGGACACGCCCCTCTGAACAAGCACAGCTGCACACAGGGGCTGAGTTCTAATAATTTCTCCTTTCTTCTGAAGTGTACACTCATTCACTTCTTCCCACAAATCTAAAAGCATTGGATTGGTGGGCATGGGCTAGTGGGAGTTTCCTGCAGAGACGAACAGACGATTATCAGAAGTTCGTCATCTCCACTTTAATGCTGCATTTCAATAGGGGCTTGACCTTCAAGTAACCCTGCTCTTGTTGACACATTAATTAAATCAAGTTCTATTCACAAATGTCACACGAGAATGTGTGTATGCTATACAAAGGCTCAATGTGGAAGAAAAGCCTCCATGATTAGCAGACAAACATTCAAATACAGGAGCAGGAAATATATAGGCTATATCCAGTATGCGCCTACAATCTTTTTAATACATTTGACACACTTCAGAGAACAGACAACTGATTTCCTTCCTCCCACAGTGAGATGGAAAACAAGAAATGAAAGCAGTTTATTCTGAGAGTTATATGTGTGGGTTCCCTCTGTGTGCAGCAGGCTTTAGCCTATGGTAGATTAAGTCCACAGAAATGAATGGGTAAGACCCTGGGCATTCTTCCTAGTTTCAGGTAGTGCTTCAGTGGAGACAACATGTGATTCTAAAGATGAAAGCACAGCCAGCACACACACAACTTACTCTTCTTTAGTCCACGGGGCTGTGAGTGTGGCTGGAAGCCCCCAGCTGGGAATCCGTAGGTGCTCATTCTCTGGACCAGGTTGGCCACGTTCCCTGCACTCTTCTCTCTCTGCTGGGGCAGCTCCTCCTCAGCCTCCTCCTTTGTCACGTTCACCTCCTTGGGCTCCTTCTTTACCTCCTGCCACCACACAGACAGCGGAGAGGACAATCATTCATTTCAGCTACATTACAAGAGGATCACCTACCTGTAGGCTACACTGATCTTGCTGACGGAAAAATACTTTGCTTGAAATGACTGATGTGGTTGTCTTAAGCTAATTGATGTAGTTGAATGGAATTACCGGTACTGTAAGTAGCTCTTTTATTTGACTAAAATGTAAATATAGTGCATAGTCACATTATGAAGTTCCCCAATTATGAGGGGGGGGGCTGTTGATTTACAGGGTGAGCCCTGCCCTGTCTGCTGTGGCAGCCATCTAACTAGCTAGCCTACTCATCCTGGGGTAGCTTTTAGATAATGATGCTCTTAAGGCTGCAGGACTCCGCGGAATCATCACATACAGTGCCTTGCCAAAGTATTCAGCCCCCTTGGCGTTTTTCCTATTTTGTTGCATTACAACCTGTAATTTAAATTGATTTTTATTTGGATTTCATGTAATGGACATACACAAAATAGTCCAAATTGGTGAAGTGAAATGAAAAAAAAAAATAACGGAAAAGTGGTGCGTGCATATGTATTCACCCCCTTTGCTATGAAGCCCCTAAATAAGATCTGGTGCAACCAATTACCTTCAGAAATCACATAATTAGTTAAATAAAGTCCACCTGTGTGCAATCTAAGTGTCACATGATCTCAGTATATCTATACACCTGTTCTGAAAGGCCCCAGAGTCTGCAACACCACTAAGCAAGGGGCAAAACAAACAGGTCAGGGACACAGTTGTGGAGAAGTACAGATCAGGGTTGGGTTATAAAAAAATATCTGAAACTTTGAACATCCCACGGAGCACCATTAAATCCATTATTAAAAAATGGAAAGAACATGGCACCACAACAAACCTGCCAAAAGAGGGCCACCCACCAAAACTCACAGACCAGGCAAGGAGGGCATTAATCAGAGAGGCAACAAAGAGACCAAAGATAACCCTGAAGGAGCTGCAATGCTCCACAGCGGAGATTGGAGTATCTGTCCATAGGACCACTTTAAGCCGTACACTCCACAGAGCTGGGCTTTACGGAAGAGTGGGCAGAAAAAAGCCATTGCTTAAAGAAAAAAATAAGTAAACACGTTTGGTGTTCGTCAAAAGGCATGTGGGAGACTCCCCAAACATATTGAAGAAGGTACTCTGGTCAGATGAGACTAAAATGTAGCTTTTTGGCCATCAAGGAAAACACTATGTCTGGCGCAAACCCAACACCTCTCAGCACCCCGAGAACACCATCCATGGTGGTGGTAGCATCATGCTGTGGGGATGTTTTTCCATCGGCAGGGACTGGGAATCTGGTCAGAATTGAAGGAATGATGGATGGCGCTAAATACAGGGAAATTCTTGAGGGAAACCTGTTTCAGTCTTCCAGAGATTTGAGACTGGGACAGAGGTTCACCTTCCAGCAGGACAATGACCCTAAGCATACTGCTAAAGCAACACTCAAGTGGTTTAAGGGGAAACATTTAAATGTCTTGAAATGGCCTAGTCAAAGCACAGACCTTTATCCAATTGAGAATCTGTGGTATGACTTAAAGATTGCTGTACACCCAGCGGGAGCAGTTTTGCCTTGAAGAATGGGCAAAAATCCCAGTGGCTAGATGTGCCAAGCTTATAGAGACATACCCCAAGAGACTTGCCGCTGTAATTGTTGCAAAAGGTGGCTCTACAAAGTATTGACTTTGGGGGGGTGAATAGTTATGCACGCTCAAGTTCAGTTTTTTTGTCTTATTTCTTTCACCCAAAAAATATTTTGCATCTTCAAAGTGGTAGGCATGTTGTGTATATCAAATGATACAACCCCCCCCCAAAATCCATTTTAATTCCAGGTTGTAAGGCAAGATAATAGGAAAAATGCCAAGGGGGGTGAATACTTTCGCAAGCCACTGTAACTGGCTCAATGAGATTGTGAGGCTGTCAAGTGGGCACGAGAGATTGGCCTACTGTAGGGAGTTCAGTTCATGAAATTAGTTTGTGAAGGAAGATAAGCCTATTGCCAACAGGACAACGACCCTAAGCACTCAGCTAAGACAACGCAGGAGTGGCTTCGGGACAAGACTCTGAATGTCCTTGAGTGGCTCTGCCAGAGCCCGGACTTGAACCTGATCGAACATCTCTGCAGAACATTTCTAAAAACCTGTTTTTGCTTTGTCATTAATGGGGTATTGTGTGTAGATTGATGAGGGGGAAAAAACAACTTAATCCATTTTAGAACAAGGCTGTAACGTAACAAAATGTGAAAATAGTCAAGGGGAATACTTTCCGAATGCACTGTATATTTGAGATGCTTTTCACTTACAGCCACAACTCAATAATCATCTAAGCCTATTGTCTTGCGCTCTTCCCAAATAGGCATAGGCTTACAAGCTTGTGATTTGAAACAATCCACAGCTATTAAAAAAAAAGAAGCTAATGATCCTTGATTCCTCTGTGGCTAAGTCATGCTTTCTGGTGAAGTATGTCTAATGATTTTATTTGTTTCTGTATAGACAGGAGTAATTATATAATTTTGGCAAATTTATTTCAATTTATTTCCCTAGCCTATTGGACGCGCCACCTATGAAAGACTTCCTCGTGCCATTTCTCTCCTGTTCTTTTCTTATCAACTTTCTTTCGTTGTCCAGAAGCCAAAAGGCACAATCCTAGTCATATAGCAAGCCATCCTAGTTGTTGCCTCTTTAGATTCCCCCTCATTCAAAGTTTCTAACAGAGATTTTAATCTCTGTCACATAGGGAACCACTCTCATCAGGTGCACTGTTTAGAATGGTATTTTCCCTGCGAATGTTCGAAAATGATGTTTTGATTGGCTGCTTCATTACAGGAGTTGCATGTTCTGTTAAGATGAATGACCATAATCTAAATATGATTTCTGTCATTCTGAGCACTGTGGGTGGATGCCCTAATGGGTTACGCACCCAATGCATATGGGTCTGGTACTTTTCTCAAATGGCCTGTAAATTAAAATCTTTCTGGTCACGTTGTCCGGCGCAACACTTTCCTAACGGAAACCCTGCGCCCACACCGGCAGTCATGGGTCATGACCGTTGAGTCATGGTAATCTCCTCCTATGCGCTCTGTACATGGCGCTGATGTATTGGTAGTACCCAACTCGCTAACGACAGTCAGGTCACTAGTGCCCTAGTACTAAGTGCTCTATTGTCCCTCTAATCACTCTGACGTCAATGCACATGCAATCGAAAATCACATCAAACACTTATCAAAACAGTATCATGCCTTTAAAAGTCACCGTTATGCTACATTGTTTGACCCCACTGTGATCGAACAATTTGAAGAAATGCAACAAAAGGTTGAAACTGAGTGTAAAACATGTTTTTTTGTGGATCTTGTTTCAAAGCCAAACACAACGAAATGGACAGCGCTTTCTAAGGTGATGATTAATTCAAAGCATTTAAGATGTCACATGTAGAACACCATACGCATATTAGAGCTTATGCATACACATAGGCCTATATATGAGCCCAAGCCAAAAAAACAACTCCATTAAATAATGATTGTCCCATTATACAATACATAGCCTACTGCATATTACGCACAGCAGATTTTTATTTTTAAGATTTAAGATGTCTTTGGTATATAATTGGTCTAGCCTATAGGCTCCTCCAAAATTATTGCCCTTGAGTGTGGACTGTATTATTATGCATACTGGATGGACTTTCTATCCATGAGTCTGGGAGAGAACGTATAGGCCTAGGTGATGCTGTTGGTTCATTGATAGAGCAGGGCGGCTTACAGAGTATAGTTAGCCTACAATTATAGTGAATTTGTATTTGATTTTGAATAGCCTAGTAATAGGGCATTTGTTATATTTTCCATAATTAATAGGCTGACATTACCTTCAGCTACAGAATGATGGTTCCCATTAAAAAGAGGATGATCCCAGCTTTCTATTACTACTATATAAACTCAGCAAAATAAGAAAAGTCCCTTTTTCAGGACCCTGTCTTTCAAAGATAATTAGTAAAAATCCAAATAATTTCATCGTAAAGGGTTTAAACACTGTTTCCCATGCTTGTTCAATGAACCATAAAAAATTAATGAACATGCACCTGTGGAACGGTCGTTAAGACACTAACAGCTTACAGACGGTAGGCAATTAAGGTCACAGATATGAAAACTTAGGACACTAAAGAGGCCTTTCTACTGACTCTGAAAAACACAAAAAGAAAGATGCCCAGGGTCCCTGCTCATCTGCATGAACGTGCATTAGGCATGCTGCAAGGAGTCATGAGGACTGCAGATGTGGCCAGGGCTATACATTGCAATGTCCGTACTGTGAAACGCCGAAGACAGCGCTACAGGGAGACAGGACGGACAGCTGATCGTCCTAGCAGTGGCAGACCACGTGTAACAACACCTGCACAGGATCGGTACATCCGAACATCACACCTGCGGGACAGGTACAGGATGGCAACAACAACTGCTCATCCTGACATGACCCTCCAGCATGACAATGCCACAAGCCATACTGCTCATTCTGTGCGTGATTTCCTGCAAGACAGGAATGTCAGTGTTCTGCCATGGCCAGCGAAGAGCCCGGATCTCAATCCCATTGAGCACGTCTGGGACATGTTGGATCGGAGGGTGAGGGCTAGGGCCATTCCCCCAGAAATGTCCGGGAACTTGCAGGTGCCTTGGTGGAAGAGTGGGGTAACATCTCACAGCAAGAACTGGCAAATCTGGTGCAGTCCATGAGGAGGAGATGCACTGCAGTACTTAATGCAGCTGGTGGCCACACCAGATACTGACTGTTACTTTTGATTTTGACCCCCCCTTTGTTCAGGGTCACATTATTCAATTTCTGTTAGTCACATGTCTGTGGAACTTGTTCAGTTTGTCTCAGTTGTTGAATCTTGTTATGTTCATACAAATATTTACACGTTAAGTTTGCTGAAAATAAACGCAGTTGACAGTGAAAGGACGTTTCTTTTTTTGCTGAGTTATATATACACA